GCTGTGTGATCTTGGGCAAGTCACTTCTCCTCTCTGGGTCTCCCTCCCTGTCCTGTCAGCTGGAGACGCTGTCAGAGGCTGGCTCCAGGTCCTATAATGGGTACAGAACTGGAAGTTTAAGTGAGATAATGCAGGTGAAGTACCCACGTGGTGTGGGCTTGAGGAAGAAAACTTATCATTTACCATTCCCTGGCCTTGGCCCCATAAAAGCCAGTAGGGCCCATCCCACATGTGGGAATATCCTAGCTTAGGGTGTGGAGGGGGGTGCCATGCGCAATGAGGGTCCCCTGCAGTCCCTCCCTTCCTTGTATCTGATGGGGACCGCTCAACAGAGTCACTGTGGCTGGACGCCAAAGACCCTTAGCTGGGAAGGATGCCAAGGGGAGCTGGAGGGAGCCAGGAAGCTGGGAGAAGGGCCAGGACCCTTCATATCCACCTAGGAGGATTTTGAGCATCACTAAAGAGCCACATTTTTGGAAACCCACTTTGTAAAACCCCAAGACACAGCCCAAAGGAAGCCCCCGCCTGCATCTGGGGTGCATTTTATTAATTTTATTTTTTTAATGGTTTTTTTTTTTTTTTTTTTTTTTTGTGAGCAGAGTCTTGCTCTGTCACCCAGGCTGGAGTACAATGGCATGATCTTGGCTCACTGCAACCTCCCTTGCCCGGGTTCAAGTGATTCTCCTGCCTCAGCCTCCTGAGTAGCAGGGATTACAGGCGCCCACCACCATGCCCGGCTAATTTTTGTATTTTTCATAGTGACAGGGTTTCACCATATTGGCCAGGCTGATCTCGAACTCCTGACCTCAGGTGATCCACCCACCTCAGCCTCCCAAAGTGTTGGGATTACAGGCGTGAGCCACCGTGCCTGGCCCTGGGGTGCATTTTAAAGCTACTCAGTATTTGTGGATACAGTAAGAGGAGATGAACTTCCCAGTAGTGTGGAGCCCTTGCTCTCCTGGTGGGCGGGTCAAAGGCTTTCTCTGTACTGTGGGGAAACCTGCCTGAAAGGCCACATACATTGGGATATTTGCTTCAAAGCCTCTCAAAATAGAGTTGGAACCCTGGAACATGGAGAGGGGTGACATTCAGTTGCTATTTAATCATGATTTGTTAATCAACAGCTCATTTATGGGAGGCATCTTAGATTAGTGGAAAAAGCAGGGAGTCAGACATCCAGACTCAACCTCCACTTTCCTGCTGTGTGACCTTGGGCAAGTGGCTTAGCCTCTCTGGGCTTCATGGTTTCTTTTTTTAATCTGTAAAATGCATCTGAGAGTGAATGCCAGGTATTCAACTCACATTGGAAAAATGTGGCTAGGAAAAGCCCTAGACTGCGTTATTGCTAGAACACTCTGGGTCTCAGTTTCCTCATCTGTTCAATGGGTACAGAACTGGAAGTTTAAGTGAGATAATGCAGGTGAAGTACCCACGTGGTGTGGGCTTGAGGAAGAAAACATGGGACAATGGTTCCACATCCCTGGGTGACCTGAAGATTAAGTGTGAAATGTCTCATGAGGGCACGAAATGAATATTAGTTTTTGTTCCCTTCCTCTGCTGCGAGAGTTTGAGAGTAGAAAGGTGAGAGAGATGGTACTCTGTGAAGGAAGGCAGGTCCCTGGCCCAGCACAGTGCCAGCTCAGGGGATTCTGGGGCAGGGGCTAAGTGCATCGGCTGTGTGGGCATGGTGGGAAGCTCTGCGAACCAGAACCAGGAGCAAGAAACAGCATTCCTTGCATGGAAGGGAAATGAGGGCAAGAGGTCCGATGCCTACAGAATGCACCCCATGTACTTCAGTTCTGTCTGTGGGTGCAGCCTCTAGGGAGGTGGGTGTTCAGGCACTGAGACCTCCGTCTGTCCTCTGACCATAGGGAAGCCAGCGGGAAGCAAAGGTGGGGTTCTTGAGCCACACCCAGTCCAGCTCTGGTGCCTGCCCTCTGGGGTGAGCTGCCTTGAGATGCACTTCGCTCCTCTGTGAACTGTCTCGGCACCCACTTCCGGTCACTGCCGCCTGATGTTGTTACTCTTCCACTCCAGAAGGCAGGGAAGTCCTGCTTCTGTACCCCACCAGTGCTCAGCAGAGGCTCCCTTGCAAATGCGAGGCTGATTCCAACTTCGGTCTGTTTCTCTGGCAGGATGCCTGTGGCCAAGGCCCCCCAGGTGGCTGGTGGGCAGGGGGACGGAGGTGATGGCGAGGAAGCGGAGCCGGAGGGGATGTTCAAGGCCCGTGAGGACTCCAAGAGAAAAGCCCAGGGCTACCTCCGCCTGGCGCCCCTGTGGCTGACCCTGGTTGTGCTGACTTCGGTGGGGGTGCTACTCTGGTATTTCCTAGGTAACGTTGTGGGACCGCCTGGGAGAGGCACCTGGGGAGGACTTAATAGCAGGCACAGCAGGACAGAACTGGGTTCCAGGCTCAGCCATGCTTAGCATGTTGCTGTGTGATCTTGGGCAAGTCACTTCTCCTCTCTGGGTCTCCCTCCCTGTCCTGTCAGCTGGAGACGCTGTCAGAGGCTGGCTCCAGGTCCTATGGCTCAGGCCTGCTTCCCGCTTGGGCAAAGTGCCCCAAGGCTCCCTACCAGGTGGGGAAAGTGGGCTCTCCTAGCACTCAGTTCTTGTGAACCAACCATCCCCCAGAGCATAAACATTGCCTTCCCTTGCCTACAGTTCTCCTGGGTTGCCCCTGAGGCTTGAAACCAATCCAGGCCTGAAGAAGGAGGCCCAGAGGCACTCATGGTGGCTGGTACCAATTAGTGCCTCTGCTCACTTGAGCCCAGCCTGGGTTCTCCTCTAGGGTGGGGACCACAGTTCTATCCCCTCTAGGTCTCCAGGGTCCGGCATGAATGGGGGATGGAGCCGGCAGCTGGAGAGCAGCTAGCCTTGGGGGCCTCTCCCATGTCCTTAATTATGGCCGGCCCCTCCCTGATCTCACAGCCCTCAGTCAGTGCCCTGGTGCTTGGGGAGCAACTGGCCTGTGCTCTGGGCCCATTCATCCAGGCTTCCATTCATTCATTCATTGAATAAATGCTCTTGAGCATCTGTTATCTTTCTCTAAGATTGATGGAGTCTATCCTCTTCCTTCTGCCTTTGACAGTGGGAAGTAATGGAGAAACCAAACTAGACTGTGCCTATACACTGTACACTATAGAAGACCCATTCATTCGTTCATTTATTCAGTGCCAAGCACCTCCTGTGTGCCAGGTACTGGGGTCAACCCCTGTCCTCGTGATTTAGCCAAGGCGTCAGACCTGACACTTACGCTAAAGCACAGCATGTGCTGGGACAGAGAAAGCTGAGGGCTGGGAGGCCACAGCAGGAACAATCCAGCTGCCTGTGTGATCAGAGGCATCCCATTAAACATCCTGCGAAGGTTAGCTAGTGCTTTTACTGGCCGAATCTCCTGGTGGAATTCCAGGCCTGTTGAAAGCAACCTGGGGACCAACCTTGCAGCAGTGGAGAGAAATCCACGTAGGCCTAGATCCAAGGGGGTCAGGGTTGGTGGTGTCTGGAACCAGCCTCTGGGAGTGACGCTGTTGGGAACCCCAGGTCTGACATGGGCCTGCTTGCAATGACTTACAGTGATTCTACCCAGAGTTGAGCAACGCAGGCATTAGACGCTGTGTACATTTCACCACCGGCAAGAAGCCAGTGCCCCGGACAGCACAGGGCTGTGGGGGCCTCCTCAGGTTTCGGGCTAATGAGTCTTAAGGGTAAACCATAGGGCACCGGGCTGGAGGGGCAGGAACTCACCTGCCAATTATTTCTTTTTGCAGAGGAGTTTAATTCCCCCTGATTATGCTCCTGGGGTAAATCATCCCCACCCCAGGAGAGGTGCTCCATGGGGCTGAGGACCCAAGGGGTGAGTGCTCCCAAGCCTTGGCTAGGGGTAGCCAACTCCCCCACAGAGGGATTAAGGGTTGGAGGAGGCACTTCAGGAGCTGTTTGAAAGACTCCTCCCACCTGGACCAGGCTGTGCTCCTGAGACTGGGTGCTGGGCAAGGAGGTGGATCAGAGACATGCCCTGCCCTATCTGGAAGAGGAGGTACACAAGTGGCCGGTGACACTGATGCATAGGCCCCAAGCAAGGAGGGCAGCCTGGCCCGAGGAGAGGGTGGGGTCGGCTTCCCAAGGAGGATGGTAGCAGAGCCCTTAATACCACCAACCATATTTCCTGGGTCCTTTTCCTTTCCTGCTCTCCCAGGCAGGAGTTTTATATGTTCTCAAGCCCCCAGCACCCGCCTGCCCCTGTCTCTTGCTTCAGTGAGAAAACAGAATGGCTTAGAAGAGAAGCCCCACACATATCGGCCCACCTGCCCTCCCAGCTGCGTCAGGTGCACTCCTCCGGAGCCCTCGATCCCGCCCCCTCTGCGCACACAATGGCCCGGCACCAGCAAGGATGCCCTGTCTCCCCCAGCAGCAGCGTCTATCAGTGTCCCTTGGGGTGCCTCCCCCATTTCTCTGCTCCTTGAAGGAGCTGTCAGTCCACACACCGAGTCTCTCTGTGCCCTTTCCAACCTGGTTCCCCCTGCCCCCCAACTCCAACGGCCATTGTCAAGCTCACCAGGTTGCTAAATCCAATGTCCAGTTCTCAGTCTTCATTGCACTTGACCCGGGGGCTCACTCCCACCTCCAGACGCCCTTTCCTCCCTTGACTTTGGGCCGCCACTGGGTCCTTTCTGCTCAGCAGGTTGCTTTTTCTGTGTCCCTGATGATGGGGGGGCCTCTCCTTTCTCTCTCCACCACTTCTTTCGTGATCTCATCTGCTACCCTTAGCTTCGCGTGCCCTTTATACCCTGATGACACCCACGTTTGCATTTCTAGCCTGGGCCTCTCCCTTGAGCTTGACTCTAGAGCTGCCCCTGCTCTTCCTTTCATATGTCTAAGGAGCATCTCAGACCCCAGGCGTTCAGACCGTGAGGTCTCTGCATAATTTCCCCCAGACCTGCACCTCCCACATCTCAGTCCAAGACCACTTCTTTCTGGCACCTTCCCCTTACTCCTCTCTTTCTTTTCCACCCCAGCCCCAATTTGCCAGCAAACCTGGTCATCTCTGACTCCAAAATACATCAAAAAGGGCTGAAGCCAATCACTTCCCACCCTCTCCTCTGCCGCAGCCGGGGCCAGGCTCTGTCCCCTTGGACATCTCTGCCCTGGAGCCCTGCAGGTGTGTCCTCGATGCTCTCCCTGCCTCTCCCCTGCCTTCTTAGAGCCTTTCTCAACATAACAGCAGAGGGACCATTTGATGAAGCAAACCAAATCCTCTAATTTCCCTGCTTAAAAACTCGCGTGGGGCCAGGCACGTGGCTCACGCCTGTAATCCCAGCACTTTGGGAGGCCGAGGTGGATGGATCACCTGAGGTCGGGAGTTCGAGACCAGCCTGACCAACAGGGAGAAACCCTGTCTCTACTAAAAATGCAAAATTAACAGGGCGTGGTGGCACATGCCTGTAATCCCAGCTACTCGAGAGGCTGAGGCAGGAGAATCGCTTGAACCCGGGAGGCAGAGGTTGTGGTGAGCCAACATCGCACCATTGCACTCCAGCCTGGGCAACAAGAGCGAAACTCCGTCTCAAAAACAAACAAAACAAAACAACACACCTCCCATTCCTCCCATCTTACCCAGGGTGAAAGCCCGAGTCCTCCCAGGCCTGACAAGCCCTACCCGGCCTCTCCCCTTCCCATCCCATACCCTCCTGCTTCCCCTTCCCCATCTCATACCCTCCTGCTGTCCCCTTCCCATCTCATACCCTCCTGCTTCCCCTTCCCCATCTCATACCCTCCTGCTTCCCCTTCCCCATCTCATACCCTCCTGCTTCCCCTTCCCATCCCATACCCTCCTGCTTCCCCTTCCCAATCTCATACCCTCCTGCTTCCCCTTCCCAATCTCATACCCTCCTGCTGTCCCCTTCCCAATCTCATACCCTCCTGCTGTCCCCTTCCCAATCTCATACCCTCCTGCTGTCCCCTTCCCAATCTCATACCCTCCTGCTGTCCCGTTGCTCACTCTTTGCTGCTCCTGAACCACACCAGGCCTTTGCACTTGCCCCTGCCTGTGACACTCTTTCCACAGATGTACATCATCTTCTTCCCTGACCTCCATACTGCAGCCCGCCCCATGCCCTGGTTTCCACTGCACTGATCACCTCTAACCTGTTATACGCTATGTGTGGTTTACTGTCTGATTCCTTGCTAGTCTGCAAACTATTAAGGGCAGTTTTTTCTTGATTGTTCTGTTCGTTGTTTTGCTCATATAGTCCCAAGTGCTTTGGCTCAGTTCCTACACATAGCAGGCTCTCAGGAAGTATTTGTTGAGTGGATAAATAGGGGTGTAAACCAGGGCTATGAGTCTACCCTCTTCACTTCAGCCAAAATAGTCTTTGCAAAACAGAAGTATGATGACATCATTCCTGATTTTAAACCTTTCACGGTTTCCCTTGTTCTTCGGGTAAAGACCCAGTGGGCCCTGCCCTGCGGAGGCCCCAGCTCCTTGCCACCCCTCCTCATCCCTGATTGCTCCAGTCAAACAGGCTCTCAGCCCGGGTCCTCACCATAGTCCCCGTGCCACCAGCCCTGTGCCCCATGCTGCTCCCTCTGCTTGAAGGTACTTCTCTTCCTCTTCTCTTACCAATTTACGGTTTCCCCATCCCTACATACCAGCTGGAGGGTCACTCCACTCTGGCCCAGGCTGAGTGTCCTCGTCACGTCCCCTCAACAGCACCGAGTGGCACTGCTCCCTGATGGCACTGCTTACAGATGGGTGCCATGTGCTGTGTGTTTGCCAGCGCCACGCCTTTCTTATCCACCACTGTCAGCTTCATGAGGGGAGACACATCTGTCTTGGTTAACTAGCGTACCCCATGTAGTCGGTGCTTAGCACACACCTGTGGGATCCCTGGATGAGCTCACGAGTGGAAGGATGCCTAGTGGTGCTGACCCACAGCCTTGGCCTCCTGGGCCTATGTAGATTTCCTGGCCTTCCTGTCATTGGTGTCCTGGACTGCTCGCTGTGTCAGCCTCTCCCTGGGAACCTGTAGGACACCATCCATCTGGAAGCCTCTCACCTCCCTGGCACTGTGCAGCCAGTTTGTCATCCAATAAACTTTGGATGACCATGATGACAATGGCAGTAACCAAGATGATGATGATGACGATGATGGTGCTGTGGAGACCCAAGACACTGAGGCTGAGCGGAGGGTGTGGGTGGCAGGAGAAGGCATGGAAGAGACAGGAGCCTTTCTCATCTGCTTCCTCCGTTAACCCTGCTGGTTCCTTCCTGGGCAGGGTACAAGGCGGAGGTGACGGTCAGCCAGGTGTATTCAGGCAGCCTGCGCGTGCTCAATCGCCACTTCTCCCAGGATCTTACCCGCCGGGAATCCAGTGCCTTCCGCAGTGAAACCGCCAAAGCCCAGAAGATGGTAGGAAAGGATTTAAGGGATGAGAGGGAGGGAATGTGGGGGTGAAAAGAGAGCGGTGGGGTCTGATCACATGGAGCCAGTTGGTCAACCCATCTGGAGCACTCACGGGGACCACAGCCCTGCTCCAGGCACCATGGAAGCAGATGAGGTTGAGGGTGATGGGAAAGTTAGCGGACGCTTGAGTCAATCGCGCTTGGATTAGATCCTGATCCTGCCTCTTACCAGGGGTGGAGCATGACCTTGGGAAAGCTCCCGCAGTGCAGCTGACACTGTCAAGGGCCCACTCCTGCCCTTCCATTACAGGACAGTGGCCCGCTCCTGCCCCTCCGTTACAGGACGGTGGTTCGCTCCTGCCCCTCCATTACAGGACGGTGGCCCGCTCCTGCCTCTCCATTACTGCCCCTCCGTTACAGGACGGTGGCCCACTCCTACCCCTCCGTTACTGCCCCTCCGTTACAGGACGGTGGCCCGCTCCTACCCCTCCATTACTGCCCCTCCGTTACAGGACGGTGGCCCGCTCCTGCCCCTCCGTTACTGCCCCTCCGTTACAGGACGGTGGCCCGCTCCTGCCCCTCCGTTACTGCCCCTCCGTTACAGGACGGTGGCCCGCTCCTACCCCTCCGTTACTGCCCCTCCGTTACAGGACGTGGCCCGCTCCTGCCCCTCCGTTACAGGACGGTGGCCCGCTTGTGCCCCTCCGTTACAGGACGGTGGCCCGCTCCTGCCTCTCCGTTACTGCCCCTCCGTTACAGGACGTGGCCCGCTCCTGCCCCTCCGTTACAGGACGGTGGCCCATTCCTGCCCCGCCGTTACAGGACGGTGGCCCGCTCCTGCCCCTCCGTTACAGGACGGTAGCTCACTGCACAGAGGCTGGTCTACTGCCTGCCACTCTCAGGCTGCAGGATCAGTGCCCAGCAAGGCAGGCCAGAAGTGCCAGGGAGTTATTCCCAGGAACACCCCTGAGCCATGAGCGCTGGAGTGGGTGGATCAGTACCACAGCTTCTTCGGCCCTGGCTGGGGGAACGGTTCAGAGGGTGTTCCAGGCTGCCTCCCAGAGATGCCCTGCTGGGCTAAGCTCAGATGCTCTCAGCTCTACACTGCACATTCATGGCCCCGTGTTGGTTACCCACTTTCCAGTCTCTCCCTCCCAACTACTGTTTCCCGGAATCACCTCCAAATAAACCACTCGCCCCACCTTGTCAATGGAGGGTCTGCTTCTGGGGGACCCAGCCTGAGGCTGCCTGTTTCCTCCTCCATGAAGTGGGAGTGATAACAACAGGACCCGGCTGCAGATTTGTTGCGGGTTGCAGTGAAGTTGAGATAACACGAACACCATTCCCACGCCGCGCAAATGCTTGAGAGCCTGTAATCCTGCCAGCAGCGCTGTAGTTGGAGATGTGCAAACAATCCAGCCAGCTGTGCTACCCATCAGAGCTGCTGGCTTGTCCCAGGCCATGGGAGGAGGTGCGGAGGGGACCCAGGAGCTGAGTGGGGTTTTTCAGAGTTGAGGAGTGACTTTTGGCAAGGCGCAGAGGGGTCATCGGCAGTGCGGGTGGAGGTGAGAATCAGGTATAGGGGAAAGGGAAAGATGGGGAGGTTCATGCATGCCCCGGCCTGGCCACTCAGCACTGTGTGACTGTGATCAAGCCTGTCCACCTTGAAGGCTCCTGCATGGAGCGGAGCTGCCGGGAGGAGCAAAGGGCACCCTGAAGTAGGAAGTGGCCCTCCTTGCAGAGGGTCCCAGGAGCTCCTGTCTTCCCTTCTTACAGCTCAAGGAGCTCATCGCCAGCACCCGCCTGGGAACTTATTACAACTCCAGCTCCGTCTATTCCTTTGGGTGAGTTGTCCTTGCCCCTGACAAGCTCCTGCAAGAAGCTGAGATACAAAGAGTGGGAGGGGACTCTGTAGGCTTCTGATGCAATGCCTTCATGTTTCAAATGGGAAAACTAAGGCACGGAGAGGGAACTTGGCTTCCTGCATGTCACCCTCCCTTCACTGGGCTCATCTGTAGAATGGAAACATGGGTGTGATAGGTTTGCACCAGGCAATGACTGTGATGGCTGATCAAGGGCTTGACACCATCAGGCGAGGCCATGGTGGAGGGCGATGGGGTTACGAGCATTGGCTCCAGGGCCTGGCTGCCCTGTTCGCATCTGGTTCTGCTACTTGCATTGCGGCATAGTCTATGAGGCACAAGTTCACCTCTCGTGCCTCAGTTTTCTCATTTGTAAAATAAGGATGATGAGAGCGCCTCCTTCAGAGGTTGCTAGGAGGCTTCTGTGTGAAGACGGACAGCAATGGCTGGGGTGTGGAAAGCGCTCAACATGCATGAGCAGGGGCGGGGCTGGGGCCAGACCTCAGAATCCTTCCCTGGCTCCTCTCATTTCTGCCTGCCTTAGGGAGGGGCCGCTCACCTGCTTCTTCTGGTTCATTCTCCAAATCCCCGAGCACCGCCGGCCGATGCTGAGCCCCGAGGTGGTGCAGGCACTGCTGGTAGAGGAGCTGCTGTCCACAGTCAACAGCTCGGCGGCCGTCCCCTACAGGGCCGAGTACGAAGTGGACCCCGAGGGCCTAGTGATCCTAGGTCGGTACTGGGAGCGGAGACGTGGGGTCGGCCTCATGAGGTTGGGAGAAACAAGCTGTGGTGTGGCCTGGGGAGGCTGCCTGCCAGGGCTGAGGTGCCCTGAGGGTGGGCCCCCCAGGGGAGACCCCCGGGTGAGGTAGCAGAGCCATTGCATTCAAGGAGCCAGGAAGGAAAGGTGGGGTGGGGGTGCTTAGGGTAAATCTCAGACAAGGCTGGCTCCAAGAGTCTCCTCTAATTTTATTTTCATTGTATTTTCTTTTATTTATTTTGTCCTTGTTTATTTGTTTGTTCATTTCCTTTTATCAGAAGCCAGTGTGAAAGACATAGCCGCACTGAATTCCACGCTGGGTACGCTACTTTTTTCCCTTCCCCACTTTCCTTTTGAGTTGGTGTTTGTATTGACTTTGTTGTGTGTCAGGGGGACACATGGCCTCTGTCGTGGGTGCAGAGAGCCCTGGCCCAGAGTCACCCAGGGGATGCCATGGTGGACTCAGTGATGTGTCCCCAGCAAGTCTTGGAGCCTGTAGGGGGAGAGGAGGTGGCTTTGTGCACGCATGTATTTCGTGTGTGTCTTGTAGACAAGTGTGCATGTGTTCCTGTGTGGGTGTGAGAATGAGTCAGATTTAGTGGTCCACAAACGTGACTCTCCATCTCTATCATTGACTTCAACCTGCCCACAAGCCATTTTTCCACTGATGGTAGAAAATCACCTCGCCAATTCACGGTGTGTCAGGTCTTTTGGAGGTAGCGGTGCCATTGCATTCAAAAACACTCCTCCACCTTTTCCTTTCCTTCCCAGTCAGGCTCATCAGCCCTCCCTCCCTACCTGGTGCCATATTGCTAGAGTCACCTTGCGTTTCTCCAAGTGGACCCACAATTTTTCAGCTGACCAGCAGAGTCACTGCGCTGCACAAGGCAGGAGGTGCTGTCCAAGTTGTAGTTTGTGTGAGTTGTGCAGTGCACCAACTGGGCTGCGGGACTATACAGCCCCTAAATTCTCAGATTCCTCCTACACTATGTAGCATTCTCACCCAGAGCCAAGGTGGGGGTGAGCGTCTCAACCCCTTCTCAGGGAAGGAGGCAGAGTTTACATCCTTATTATACTTTTCCTTAACTTCCCCTCTTCCCATCCTGCTGGTCAAATGTTTGCTTCTTTGTTGGATGGAGGTGATGAGCTCAAAGTACAGTTTTCAAAGAGGTGAAATCATGATTCTCATACAAAGATAGAGTGACCGCGTGTCAAATATGTATTTAGCTGATTAACAGGGGAACCAGCGGAATGGTAAAGAATGCAAGAAACTGATCAATCTGTCTGTCTATCTATCTATCTATCTATCTATCTATCTATCTATCTATCTATCTATCCATCCATCCATCCATCCATCCATCCATCCATCCATCCATCCATCTATCTATCTATCTATCTATCTATCTATCTATCTATCTTTCTATCTATCTATCATCCCTCTCTTGATATCTGTCTGTCTACAGTTGTTCTGTAATTATCTGTGCTCAGTGGGTGTTCATTTCATGAGTGAATGATTTAACAAACGAATGAAAGCATGAATGAGGTGACTGGTTCAGTGCGCGTCCAGAGCAGAGTCTCAGGGAGCAGCGGTAACAACTTAAATCCTTGAAGTGGACTTTCTGAGCACTTCCTTTATGCCAGGCCCCATTCCTGCTCTGAGGACACCAGGACGACCGTGTCCTCACCCCTGCCCTCAGAGGAGCTTCAAGCCCCATGAGGGAGACAGACACATAAACAAATTCTCATAACATCAAGTGCCAGTGTGAGAATAGAGGCCCCAGAGGCAGTGGAGAGAGGGAATTGTTTGTTCCAAAGCAGAGGAGGGGGTAAATCAAGAGCCTCACACAGAGTCCCAGATCTACAGGAGGAAGGGGTGCTCCTGACTGGGGGATCCTGGAAGACTTCATGGAGGGGGCATCAGATTTGGGCATGGGCCGGGCGTGGTGGCACACGCCTGTAATCCAGGCACTTTGGGAGGCCGAGTTGAGCAGATCACCTGAGGTCAAGAGTTCGAGGCCAGCCTGGCCAACATGGCAAAACCCCGTCTCTACTAAAAATACAAAATTAGCGGGGCGTGGTGGCCCATGCCTGTAATCCCAGGTACTTGGGAGGCTGAGGCAGGAGAATTTCTTGAACCCAGGAAGTGTAGGTTGCAGTGAGCTGAGATTACACCATTGCACTCCAGCCTGGGCGACAAGAGAAAACTCCATTTAAAAAAAAAAAATTAGCTGGGCATGGTGGTGGGCACCTGCAGTCCTAGCTACTCGGGGATGGAGGAGGGGAGGCTAAGGTGGGAGGATCACCCGAGCTCAGGAGGTTGAGGCTGCAATGAGCTGTTGTGATCGCATCACTGCACTCCAGCCTGGGTGACAGGCTGTCTCAACAATAAAATAAAATAATTTTTAAAAGAAAAAGAAATTCAGGCATAGGGGTAGGCAGGGACTTGTCAGGATGAGAAGGAGAAAGGGCTCCCTGGGCAGAGAATGGCAGGGGCAAAGGCCAGGGGAGAGCAACACCAAGGCATGTTCAGTTACTTCCTCCCAGCCCCGAGAGGTGCCAGGCTCCCTGAAGGTGCTTCTGATTAACAAGAGGTTAGCACACACCTCTCCACTGAATTCACCTCAAAAAAAAAAAAAAAAAGAGTAATTATTAAAGTGGCAAGAGCAAAGAATCTGCTTAGAGCAAGATTTAAAGAACACAAAACCCTAGGAAGAGCCAGGCATCTTTCCCCAGCTGCTGGTGGAGGCTCTGTCCCTTCCCTAGGCAGATACTGTTGGTCTCTCCCTGGGGAGCTCAGCTCCCCACTGCAGTCAGCACGGCCAGAGGTCAGGGAGAAGGGGCTGAGCCACAGGCGGCAGCATCAGAGCAAAGTGTATTCACCTTCATTCCCTTCCTGGTCCTCAGCACTGCCCGGAGGAGGTCATAGGACAGGGATTATTATCACATCCGTTTGACAGAACTTGGAATGGCTAAGCCACTGGCCGAGGCTCAGTTAACTACCCAGAGGTAGTGAACATCTACCTCTACAGAGTCCGAGGTTGATAATCTACAACCAATAGTAAGTCAGAGTTATTATTCCTGAGAGCCTCCGGGGGACTTAATCAGACGATGCTTGGGGACAGAGACTGGCTCACTGCAGCCTGGACACCGAATCTGGTCCACTGCTGCCTGACCAAGAATGACATCATCGCACAGCTGATGAGTGTTGGTGCTAGGTGGGGAGGGTAGTGCCCCTCCCTCCTTCTCTCCAGTTTTCTCCCCCTCCCCCCTCCCCTGGGGGCCCAGCAGATGGCTAGCCTAGGGAGCTGCCCTCAGTCTGACCAAGCTGACAGGGGGACCTTTGCTTGTCGGTGGCCTTCCAAATAAGACGATTTAAAGGAGAGAAAATAGACTGAAAACTCAGGTTTTATAATTTCATGTCACCAGGCTGCCTCCCACATCCCAGGTTCATTCTTAAATCCCCAATGGCTCCTGGAAGAACACCAGGATTCTGGTGAGGTTTAAATGAGATACTGGATGCTCCATGGGAGAGAATATGTTCACTGCCAGACCCTGGTGCCTAGATGGAACACACAGTAGGTGCACAGTCACTGTTTTGAATGAATGAATGAATGAATGAATGATGCAGGTGGTACTGCTTTGTAAGTTCTAGCAGCGCATCAGAGCTTATGGATTAGATGGAAGAGCAGAGGCTCACTGGTGTGTGGGGTAGGGGTGTAGGGTGTAATGGTGAAGGAGTTGTGAAGTGAGGCAGCCGTGAGATGGGCTAGGTCTGAGCCTCAGGTGGGGCCAGCGGCAGGATGACAAATCACAGGCCTTTCTTCCCAGCCCTACCTGCTCCGTCTCCGTCACACCCACCTGAGGAACAGGCAATGTCTTTACTGAGCCCCTACTGTGCAAGGCGCCGTGCTGGGCACTCAAACGTGCGTCAAGCCACAACCTGCTGGCGACCCTGCAAGGGTGGTGTTATTGTCCCATTCTACAGATGAGGAAACCAAGGCCCAGGAAAGATTAGGTGGTGGCTGGCCAAACCCAGATGTGTCTGGTCCAGGTCTGTGCAATGGGCACAATCATTGAACGTATCTCATAGAGCTGTTGTGGGCATTCAGTGAGACACTGAGGGAAGGCATTCCGCTCGGTTTCTGGCCTGTAGCAAATGCTTGATAAGCACCTGTTTTATTCTAACGACTTCACCATGATTAGCTCAAAGCTCACGTCCTCCCCTCAAGGCAGCCTCCCAGACTCCTCCTTGGGGCAGTCCCTTCTCTCTACCAGAAGTGAAGCCCTCATCCCCTTGCCTCCTCATTGTGTGTGGAATCGCTGTTCTCCACAGTGTTGCTCGCAGCAGCCAGAAGAGTGTGTGGTCCAAGCCAGCCCATGTCCAGCCTTGCTCAACCTTCTGTGGCTCCCTATGGCTGCAGGAGAAAGCAGCGTCGGTCCTGCGAGTGGCCTGGTCCGGGCCCCCCTGCCTTCAGCTTGTCCTCTAGACACATGTGCCCTGTGTGTACTTTTCTCAAAGCTGCCTGGCTCGCCCCAGCCTCTTTGCTCATGCGGGGACCCCCAGGACACCCCCAGCCCATAGGCTGGGTTTGGAACCATCACCTCCTGAGCTATTCTTGCCTGTTCTGTGTCTGTTTGTCTCCGCTGTCATCCATGTCCCCAGGCAGTGACTGTATCTTTAGCTGGGCACTGAGAAAGCATGAAGCTCAGTGGGTGTCCGTTCCATGAGTGAATGACTGAACCAATGAACAAATGCGTGAATGAGGATACTGGCAGGGAAAGAGAAGGATCGGGTAGAGCATGTCTGGCTGTCCCCACCTGGCTCCCCTGCCCAGCCCATCCTGCCTCGGGGAGGACCTTGAGGAACCTGGCTCCCCAGGGTCCCCTCCTTCTGGGTCACAGGAATCAGGGGCTTTGCCCCTCTTCCCGCTCCAGGTTGTTACCGCTACAGCTACGTGGGCCAAGGTCAGGTCCTCCGGCTGAAGGGACCCGACCACCTGGCCTCCAGCTGCCTGTGGCACCTGCAGGGCCCCGAAGACCTCATGCTCAAACTCCGGCTGGAGTGGACGCTGGCCGAGTGCCGGGACCGACTGGCCATGTATGACGTGGCTGGGCCCCTGGAGAAGAGGCTCATCACCTCGTGAGTCCCTGGGAAGGAGGGCGGGAGGGAGGGCTGGAAAGGGGAATGGCTGATTAGGGGGTTAAAAGTCACACACAACATTCTTAGACAAGTGGGGGTAGGACCTTGGGCCTGGGTATCTGGGAGACAGGACAGCTAGCCTAGAGGGGATAGGAGAGAGGAGGCTGGAGATGGTTGTGTACTGGAGGCGCTTCCCCTCCCCGAGCCTCGGTTTTCCGATTTATAACAAAGCTGTTGTTCTAGATGACCCGTACAGACAGCTCTGGGAGGCACTGTGGCTTGTTGGGATATTTCAGAGCCTGGCTGCAACCTGGACTTTCAACCTCTGGGTTCATTCCTAAATCCTGACTGCTTCCTGGCAGAGCACCCACCCTCCCTGCTTCCCCGGCTGCTGGTGGGGTTTAAATGAGACACTAGATTCTCAATGGGAGGGGATATCTTCACTGCCGGGCCCTGGTGCCTAGATCAAACGCACAGTTGGTGTGCAGTATCCATTTTGAGTGAACCAATGAATGATGTAAGTGGTACTGCTTTGCAAGCTCTAGCAATGCATCAGAGCTCATGGATTAAATGTAAGAGCGGAAAGGTTTCCTGGTGTGTGGGGTGGGGGTGTGGGGGTGTGATGGGGAACCCCCTGCCTCCTAGCTGTGTGCCCTAAGTTACTTTGCCTCTCAGAACCTGCTTACCTTGCATCTTGCGGGATCATTGGAGGATTTAAATCAGACCATCTGTACCATGATCCTTACACATAGTGAGTGCCCAGTAAACGCTAGCCATTATTGTTATCATTATATATAGTCTAACTGGGACTGGGCCACAAAAGGCGTTGAGTACCAGGAGCCATTTGGACTTTGATAAGTGGGGAGCTATTGGAAGTTCTGAGATCTGCGGCATGTGCATGGGCTGAGTTCCTGGGGGACTCTGGGAAGCACAGAGAAGCCAGACACCATCTGACTTCCAGGTCCAAAAAGGGTGGGGACACTTAGGAGGCTTCCCCTGGGGCTTCTCCAGGTGCCCCTCAGCTTGGGAGGGGACCTGACTGCCAGGCCCAACTCTGTTCCTACTCGCTGCGGCTCCTGGTGGCTCCCTTGGAGAAGACCCTTGGAGAAGCTCTAAAATGACAGGTTAGACAACATTTGGGGTTCTCAAGCTCGTACCCCAGAAACCTGCTAGGGAATGGGAGTGAGGGGGCCTTTGGTGGTGACAGGAAGACAGAGCAGGTGGCCCCTTGCCCAGGTTCAACCATGTGCTTCGTTTCTGCATTCCATGTTTCATTGACAAGGGCTCTGCTGCTAGGTAAATAAAATAAACCCCCCCAACAATGAAAGCAAAAGCCCCCATTAAAGGTGGCCTCCAGGTCTCTTCCATCCTGATATCGTATCACCCACCTCCCAGGGAAGATGAGCCAGTAAGGCTAAAAAAGGACGTGGCTGTGTGGGAGGGTGGGGGGGCCGAGGTCTGGCTGGGGAGACTAGAGCACTGCAGGAAGACCAAGCTGGAATGGTAGGAAGAAGGGACGAGGGCCTGGGGGGCGAGCGGGGTGGTGCCTGCTACTGGAGGCCACCTCCCTCCTCTGGCGAGAGGCCAGGGGAACTGCCCCATCTCCGGACTCTGGGCACCAAGACCTTCCCAGGGAGACCCCCTGGGCTTATGCACACCACGCCTTCAACCGGCTGCAGGCTGCTCGGATGCCACGTGTAGTGATTTTGAGGCTGTGTTTGGAGGAGCTCAGGTACTCGCTTGCCAAGGTGCCCGAAATCCCTCCAGCGGCACCCCTTCCTCCTGTCAAGGCCCAGGTGCCCACGCACGGTCGGCAGGCAGGGAGGCTATTGGGTTACCCACTCAGGGGCAGGCAGGGCTGTTAGTTTCTTATAAATTGGCCCATCAGATGTGCTGGGCCTCCAGAGGGTATTGTCATTGACACTGGGAAGTTTGGTGGAGGTTGGTGAGAGGGTGAAGGGGTGCTAGGGAACCCCTGTCTGAGACAGGAAGACCAGGGGCATCTGTGTATGTGGGAGGGTACCAGCCATCACAGGCAATGCCTAGCGCAGGCCTGTCTCTGCCATGGACTGCCGGTGAGGCCTCAGTTTCCCCATCTGGGAATCAAGAAGCTAACTTCAACAGTGTCACTGGAGTCTTTTCCGGGCTGACATTCCAGATTTCTAAAAGCCCAGAAGTCTAAGATACGGTTATTTGTTCCGAGCCCCCCAGGCACCAAGCTCTGGGCAGATTTCTGGGGCACCCTAGGGGTCACCAGACCACACCTGCTTTCTCCCTGTCGCATCCTTGAACACGGCCAGGAGTTGCAGTGCAGGCAGCCAGAAGGGGTGGCCCCTGCAGATGCCAGTCTAGTCTTCCTGCCAGGGATGCTAAGGGTCACAGGTGATTCCGTAGCAGGGTGGAGGAGGCTGGGGAGGGAGCATGAGACTTGAGCCAGGCATCATCATTGAACTGTAAGCTCCAGAAGTCTGGGGAACCTCCAGGCCTCTCTCACCCAAGGAGCTGGCCTGGTCCTTGGAGGGCCTTCAGTCTGTCCTCTGAGGCCAGGGAGACACAGACTCCCCATGGACACACAGCGGTCTCTAGTAGCAGACCTGGGTCCAGAACCCAGATGTCCAGACTCTCATCCACCATCCCAGAGCAGCTGCCTGCCACCCTCCCTGCCACTCCCCTCCCAGACCCCGGCCCAGCCTTGCCGCTTTTCTGTTCTGCCAGGGTGTACGGCTGCAGCCGCCAGGAGCCTGTGGTGGAGGTCCTGGCATCGGGGGCCATCATGGCGGTGGTCTGGAAGAAGGGCCTGCACAGCTACTACGACCCCTTTATGCTCTCCGTGCAGCCGGTGGTCTTCCAGGGTGAGGGGTGAGGGGATTCTGGGGCAGGGGAGGGGTGGTGGTAGAACCCCAGGGGCCTCCACTGGGCTCACTGCTCACCTTTTTGCCCAACTTGGGGACGGGATGGAGAGGGAAGGTTCTGGAAGCTCCTGCTGCTCTCCACTCCCCACCCTGGCCCCACTCTTCCTTCCGCCATTTGCACTTCCACCCCGCTCTGCCCCTTGACCCTTCTACCCGTTCGCAGTCTCTGTCTTCCCGGCATCGCTCCCTCACTTCTCTCCTCTTTCCCTCTCCATCCTTCTTCCTCCTTTTCTCTTTTCTGTGCTGACTGCCTCTCCTCCCTCCTCACCCTCCTGGACCTGTGTCCCCTCCCCTCTGCCCCTCCCTGCCCTCTTCCCTCGGCACCCACCAGTGGCTGGGCCTGGAACACCGGTCTGTTTGCAGCAGGACTCAGAACTCCTTGGATTCTGCCCTAGACAGTCCGCTTACGGCCAAGAGGGCACAGGGAGCTTGGGGAGGCATGACGGCAGCACAGCCAGGCCAGGGCCACCGGTGTGACAGGCCCCCCACTGCCCTCCCAGCCCCCACCCTCCTCCTGCTTCAGGACCTCCCTCCTTGCCCCCTTCCTAGGAAGGGCACGTCCCACTCTGCACTGGACAGCTGTCCTGGGCCAGGGCCAGCCATACCTCTGGGCAGGAAGCTCAAACTTTGCCATTTCTGGAGCTTGGGAGGGGAAGATGGCAGACAGGAAGCCACAGAGTGTTGGCAGCTGCTTCTCCCCCGACCCTTGTCCCCAGTCTGCTCCCTCCCACTCAGGGTCCCCGCCCTCTTCTCGGTTTATCCCTAAACTCTCTGGCAGGGACCAGGGTCCCCAGCTGGCCAAGCTGGAGCTCTAAATGGGTAGCAGAGCTGTTCTCTTGGGAGTCTGACACAGGCTCAAGGCAGGAGGGAACAAACGGCTTTGGGGGCCCTGGCCCCATGGAGAGATGGCCAGGGCAGCTGAGCGTGCTCCTGTCCTGACCCCTGGACCCCTCAGCTTCTCACTGTGTAGCCTCAACCAAGCCACTCCTTTTCTCCGAACCTCATCTTGGAAAAGGGGAACAGCTCTCTCTCTCCCAGCCGCCACCGTGAGGCCTGCGCAGGTGTGAATGCATTTTGTAAACTGGCGAGTGCTGTCCCGCGAATGTCAATAACTAAAACGGATCACACACTTACTACATGCCAGGCTGTTTGAATGTTTTATGTCTTTTTAATCCTCTTTACTACCCTATGAGGTGTGTGCTATTATTGTCCCCATTTTACAGATGAGGAAACTGAGACCCAGGTTCACACAGTTACGCTTAACCACAGCACTTCGCTGGCGGAGGTGGTAGGGGTGGTGGGGTTACAAGCTGCGCTCGCCTGCTGGGAGGTGCAGCCAGGGGACCCCGTGTAACGGCTGCTCTCCTGGTCCAGCCTGTGAGGTGAACCTGACGCTGGATGACAGGCTGGACTCCCAGGGCGTCCTCAGCACCCCGTACTTCCCCAGCTACTACTCGCCCCGAACCCACTGCTCCTGGCACCTCACGGTGAGACCCCACCCTGCCTGCCCACCTGTCCTCTGCCCCAAGCACAGCACCGGTCCCTGGTAACCCGGGATGAGAGCGGGCAGTGTCCTGCTTCTGCTGAAGCGCCCACAGGCTGAGCCCTGGGTACCAGTCCTGCTAGGGTGGAGAGGGGGTGTGGGCGAGGTCTCCCTCTGTGGATCACGGCAATGCCTGTTTGTTGAGTGACTGACAGACTTTAGCCCCACCTGGGATTCTGTGTCTCCTTCTCTTTGTTGTTAGGGAGGTGGGTTCACCAACCTGGCCACACCCCATGGGCCACCTGATGGCCCGCTCCTCCCTCCCAGGTGCCCTCTCTGGACTACGGCTTGGCCCTCTGGTTTGACGCCTATGCACTGCGGAGGCAGAAGTATGATTTGCCGTGCACCCAGGGCCAGTGGACAATCCAGAACAGGAGGTACTACTTCCTCTCCTCCCTCCAGCTTCCTCTCCTCCCTCCAGCTTCCTCTCCTCCCTCCAGCTTCCTCTCCTCCCTCCCCCTCCCTCTCCTCCCTCCAGCTTCCTCTCCTCCCTCCAGCTTCCTCTCCTCCCTCCAGCTTCCTCTCCTCCCTCCAGCTTCCTCTCCTCCCCCCAGCTTCCTCTCCTCCCTCCAGCTTCCTCTCCTCCCTCCAGCTTCCTCTCCTCCCCCCAGCTTCCTCTCCTCCCTCCAGCTTCCTTTCCTCCCTCCCCCTCCCTCTCCTCCCTCCCTTACAAGTGACCCCCTCATTGGAAGCCCAAGTCCCCAGCCTCAGAGGGACAGCAGGGGGAGCCAGCAGTGGCTGGGGCTGGTGTTGGGCCTGTTGTCCTCGTCCCGGCCCCCCACTGTGGCCCCAGCTTCCCCTCTAGCTACCCCAGCAGTCTCAGACACTCTTGGTCATCAGACACCCTGGATGTTGGTTCTAATTACAGCAAAATAGTCTCATCTCCTTGGGTGCTGTAACCCCCTCTGGCACCCTCAATCCTTCAATAAAATGGTTCCAGAGCCAAAGGACTCATGGGCACTTTGGTGCCTTCCCCCTAAACCCAAAGTGTACAATCCAAGGGGCCTCTCCCTTATCATGACCCCCTGCTGCACAGCCAGGTTCAAACCCATTGCACAGGGTAACATGGAAATCACGGATGCCCTGGATCCCCCGAATCCCCAACAGAGCACTTGCCCTCTTCCCTGCTCTTGCCCTTGCCCCCTCTGGTAACTAAGTTTCTGACAAAGAAGTGAGTCCTTCCAGGGATGTGAGCAAGAGACAGCAGAGTTAGGCTAAGCGACCACCGTCACCAGGGTCACTATGGCATGAGGCCAATAAGTGCCCCCTGGGCCTGGCCACCAGGCGGCCATGGGTGGTGCCAGCAGCTTCAGAGGCCTGGGGTGGGCAGGGAGGCAGGGAAACAGAGACAGGGTATATGGACAGGTTTTCATTTGTCTGGGAAGAAAAGAGAACTAGGCAATTCAAGGAAGGGGCATTTAAGACAGGAGAGGTTCCGTATCTCAAATGTGTGGATCATCCCAGCGTCCCCAGAGGGAGAGAAGAAGGCTCAGGTGCAGGTAATATTGTTTAGAGGGTGGAGGGTGGGCAAGAGGAGAGGGAGGCCCTCCCACAGCTCCATTGTTGGGGAGCAGAGGTTTGGGGAGAGAGAAGAGGAATATTGAAGCAGCGATGGCAGAGCCAGGGAGACCCTTCCCCTGGGAATCCAGGGTGAAAACGGTCATCGTGTCAGCGTCAGGAAAGAGGAGACTACCCCTCATCACAGACTGGGTTCTGCCCTCCCTTCCAACCCCAGAATTCTGGGGGCCTAATGGGTTGAGAGTCTAGTACGCAAGATTCATCATTTCTTGGTTTCACAGAGTTTGAATATCCAAGATGCCAGTCTTGGAAGATGCCAAAATTGGAAGGCTCTGGGGCTCTAGAATTCTTGGATTTCTGGGGTCTGAGTTCCCATTCACTAACACTTGTAATTTGCTTGTTGGTTGATCCTATTCAAAAGGATCACCCAGACAAAAGGTGACAGAGAATGACAAGGTTTGCTTGACTCCCTTTTTGCAATTTATCTGGGACTAGGATTAAAGGAAAGGAGAAGAATTACCCATGGTATGATTTAGGACTATGCTGTTGGGGGTGACATGGGGAGTGACTTTGGGCCTGTGCTGCTGGGGGTGACATGGGGTGTGACTTCAGGCCTGTGCTGTTGGGGGTGACATGGTGAAGCAGTGGCTTCAGGGCTTTGCATTTGGTGATGATATGCTGATGGAGTGTGACATCAGGCCTGTGCTGCTGGGGTGACATGCTGGTTCGGTGACATCAGGCCTGTGCTGTCTGGAGAGAAGGCATCTGTAGCATGATGGGGGCACCTCTGGGAATGGTTGCCCTGACCCTCATGGAGCTCCCTTGGGGCTGCCTTGCTGCTCACTTAGGCTGAGGATGGCTGGCCTCACCCCTGCTCACAGGAACCCGCAGGGTGACCCTGAGATGGATCCATGATTCACAGTTCTTCGAATGATGAGAACATGTTTTCCTGCCTCCCTCCCTACCCCAGAGCTGAACTTTATGTCTCAGGGAGGCTCAGAAAGGAGAAGGAACACTCTTGGGTCTGACACCCCCATCTCATCCCTCACCCCCATGGCAATTCCATTTGCCAGAGGTGGGGCCCCAGCATTCAGGGGTTGTGGGGAGTTCAGTGGCCTGGAGTTAGGGGCTAAGACAGGTGTTCAGTGCATTGGCCCAACAACCTGTGTGGTCATCGGCACCGTTTCCATTTCCCAGAGAAGAAAATCAAGGCTCAGCAGGATTAGGTGACACGCAGATGGGTCCACAGTTGGGGTCTCTCCCATACCCCACCAGCCACAAACAGCAGGCCAAAGGATGCTCCACCCCATGCTTCCTGGGGGAGGGCCCTCCTCCCTCCCTGATGCAGTTGGGCAAGGGTCTGGGTACTGGGGAGACAGGGACTTCGTGAGCTACCCTTGGGTAATGACAGAGAGAGTGTGGAACACGGATGGGAGAATCTTTTCCCTAATCCAAAGGAATGATGCCTCAATGGTGAATTTGAGGCACTAGGACAGCTTCCAATGGGGTGGAGGGATCTCCCCAGAGTCTCTGAGCACCATTGAGCTATAGAACGTGTGGGCTGGACTGGTCCTAGCACCTAACCTACGGTACAGGTGGGGAAACTGGGATCAGCGATGGTTAAAAGGACTTGGCCTTTTGTCCCTGTCTTTTCTGCCTTTCAGTGGTGGAGATGGACGTCAGGGTGTAGCTAAGCGGTGGCTGGGTGGTGAGGATGAGGCCTGGCAGTTCCCCGTGCCCCCATAGCTCCCCTCTCTCTGTCCAGGCCTCCCTTGCCACATGGGGGTGGAAGTGCTCAGTGGAATCTGGCGTCAGGGTTTGCATGGATCTCTAGATGCGCTCCCTTCCTTGTCTGTGAAACAAGGGGTTCAGGCCAGCCCCAACCTTTGATTACTTACCCATCAGGGAGATGCTGTCTCCCATACAAGTTGCGTTTATTAATTCCTGGCCAAAGGCCATTCCAACTCAGGCTGGTGAGGTGGAAAGTGCTTTAGTGTCGAAACCAGACAGGCCAGGGCTGAGCACCTGTCTCCTCTGCTTCCTACCTGGGCGAGGACTTAGATCTCCCAGCCTCAGGTAACTCATCTGAAAAAAGGTCGTGAAAGAGATCCCCGCCCTGGGAAGACTAAGTGAGACAGTGCATGGAGAACACTGCACACGCAGGCGTGGGTCAAGTACAGCGACCCTGCGTTCCTCACCGGCTGTCACTCCGCTCTGGGCAGGCACAAGCTGAGGGGTTTATGGTGCTGGCTCTTTCAGCCTCAACAACCCAGCGAGGAATCACGTGCCTGTACAGACTTCATAGACCAGTGAGACACCCAAGACAGAGACACGAAGTAATTTGCACAAAGTCACCCAGCTCGTTGAGCCAGACCTAAGGCCAGGCAGCCTGATCCGGAGTGCACGTGGGTGCACAGATGCATGTCTGTGTGCGTGCGTCCATGCATGTCTGTGCACGTGTGTGTGCACGTGTGTGTGGTCCACGTGTGCGATTCTTCCCTCTGGGCCTCTAGTGGCCCATGCCAGCTGGTGACTCCCTCAGCCATCCCCAGCCAACCCACCGGCATCCGGATGGGGGGATGGATGGTTTCTGTGGCTGTCCCACCAGCTGCAGAGTGGCCTGGGAAGTCCCAGCCCTTTCTTCTCAGACTTTCATTAAGGGTCCAGGATCCCCAGGGGCAGACTCTTGTCCCCTCCCCGCAGACTCCTCCTGTGCGAATGACTGTGGAAGGGAAGGCAGAGGTGGCACCTGCGAACCATCTGCACTGGGACACCGTGCCCTCTAGTTATGATCATGGGCAATAGTGATCATCCCATGTAGATGCTGAGAAATTCTTAGAATGAGCGATGTTGGAAATCTGCTTGTGTGGGTGGCAAAGACATGAGAGGTCTAGGGAAGAGCAGATTTTCAGACAAGGCACTTTAGGGAGGGGGAGGTGCAGACCTTTGGCCCAGAATGCCCATTGATGGAGAGGGTGTGTCAGGGGAGAGGGTATCTTAACCCTCAAGTGCCAGCGTAGTGATGAGGAAAGGCTGGCCTGGGCCCCCCATGGGCTGAGCATCCTTAGGCACCTCACCTGACTCCTCTGAGCCCGTGGTGCCTCCTTCACCCCGACCTACCTGCTGTCTACCTAGCTTCTCCTGGTGCCCACTTGAGCCCAGCTGAGGCCTCATGCCCTTGAGAGGCCTGAGGGTGGTAGAAGGACTTGGCCTGTGAGATCTGACCACGGCTGCTCCGTTTCGCAGAAGCCACTCTCACGAGCTGCCACCAAAGCACAGGTTTCCCCCTTTCTGGGAACCTGCCTCCCGCCAGCTTCCTCTCCTGTGACATCACTTCTCTTGTGATCCGCCCCACCATTTCCACTCACTCCCAGCCAGTGGGGACAGGCAGAATCATGGGTTCCCTAGGCCAGCTGAAGCCACCCCTGACCTGGCCTGGCCTGGCTATTGGGTCGCCCTTGTGTTCTCTGGAGCCCTGGTGGCCAGTACAGCCGGCAGCCACACACGCTCAGTGAGAATTTCAGTGTGGCTGACCTGAGCTGGGCTGGCCATGCAGGAGAGCGCCAGCTACTTCCTCCATGAGCTCACAACCTGACGTCAGCAGGTGCTTCAAAGAAGTCATTTCCTATGCAAGCCTTAAACCATGCCACAAGGGAGATATGATCACCCGTTTTACAAATGTGAAAACTAAAGCTTGCTGAGGGTGACCCAAGGTCACACAGCTTGCTCCTGGGGCAAAGTCAGGCTGTCAGTTCAGCTCTGCAGCCCCAGGTCCAGAGCTCTGGCCATGCTGGGTGTTGCTGTCCTCCCCTCTTCAGCACTTGCCTTCTGTGACCCTCCTTCCCCTTTAACCTGTTTGTAGGCAAGGGCATGGTGGTGTGCACTCATCCACCCATGCACCCTTCCTTCCTTCTTCCTTCTTGTGTTCTCCCCACCCTTCCATCCATCCACCCATCCATGCATTTATCCCTCCAGGCAGTACTTCCTGACAGGTCCCTTCCTGACAGGGTACCTCCTGGATGAGGCAAGAAGGAAATATTCCCCATATTCAATAAGGTGAGGAAGCAAGGCAGGCCACACGGTGCAAAATGTGCCTTCAGACACTCAGTACTTTGTAGCCGAGATGAACTGGCAGGCATCGCAGCAGTCAGGCTTCTGGTGCTTCTTGGAGAGGGCTAGAGAGGAGCACTTGATGGACAGGAGGCACTGGAGAGCCAGAGAATGTGCACCCTCTCCCAGAAAGCTCTGCAGCAGAAACAGAAAACTCAGATGGGCCAAGGGGCCAGGCCAGGGCTAGAGCCTATGACCGGGGTAGTTTTCCAGGCTCTTTTCTTTCTTTCCTTCCTTCCTTCTTTCCTTCCTTCCTTCTTTTTTCTTTCTTTCTTTCTTTTCTTTTCTTTCTTTCTTTCTCTTTCTTTCTTCCTTCCTTCCTTCTTTCTTTCCTTCTTTCTCTTCTTCTTCCTCCTTCTCCTCCTCCTCCTCCTCCTCCTTCTCCTTCTTCTCCTTTTCCCTTCTCCCTTCCTCTTCTTCTGTTTCTCCTCCTCCTCTTCTTTCTTCTTCTTTTTCTTCTTCCTCTTCTTCTCCTTCTCCTCCTCCTTCTCCTTTCTTCCTCTTCATCTTTCTTCCTCCTCCTCCTCCTTCTTCCTCCTCTTCCTCTTCCTCTTCTCCTTCTCCTTCTAGAGGAGCAAGAATCTGGATTATTATGTGAAATTAGCTCGCGACTCAATGAAGCAATTTCTACACGCTGCATAAACACATTGTCTTTATGCTGAGTGACTCCCCCTGGGCCACTAGATTTCAACCCCTGCCTTGAATTCCTCTCTGGTGCTTTCTAAGCAAAGGCTTGTCCTAGGGGTCCACCACCTCTACCCCTGCTCCAGGCCTCCAGAGTGAGAACCAAATGCCACCCAGGCAGACAGTTTCCCGGGTACGCGGTGAAGCCTTGGGGAAAGGTTGCTGCCAGCTACAGGCTGGTTCTAGGACTCTCCCTGGAGGTTAATAGAGAGAACTTCCTGTAGCAGGCACAGGTGCCTTTGCCTTACAGCCCCTGCCCAAGGCTTGGGTGACACTGCAGCCCTCCACGCAGTTGCTTCTAGGGTGAAACGTTCCACTCCCCTCCAACCCCGGCTTGGGTTCCTTCTCTGTCTCTCCATAATCTCCCTGTGACTGTGGGAGGGACACCCCAAGGCCCATGGGATGTGCTTGACTCCTCATTCCCCGGACCAGTCCTTCCCAACCCCTGGCTCCCCTGTCTACTTCCTGAGGTCCTTCTGTGAGGAAAACAATCCATGATAACTTTATGAACAGACATCAAAACCAGGGTTTCCTGGGTTTTACGAGGGCAAGAGGGCCGGGTTTGCTCAGGGGCGCCCCCTGGCGGTGCCTCGTCCCCCACCGGCCCTGCTGGGCTGGGGAACCACGGTGGGAGGCAGCGGCTCCCAACCTGCTCTGTCTCAGGACCCAGTTACTCTCTGCAAAATGACTGAGCACCCTAAAGAGTTGTTGCTTATACAGGTTATAGATCTATACCTGTAGCATTAGAAATTCGAACAAAATTTTAAAATGTTTATTAATTCCTTTAATGTAATTATCAGCCCATTACACATTTGAATATAAATAATATTCTATGCAAATTAGTTGCATTCTCCAAAAGCAAAAACATTTAGTGGCAAGAGTACTGTCCTTTTACATTTTTGTACATTTCTTTAACAACTGGCTTCACAGACCACAGGCGGGACCTTCGAATCTGCCTCCGAGTTCCATCAGTCCCGATGTCACACATCACGTAGTCTCTGGAAAACTCGTCTGTCACCTTATGAGAGAATGAGGGCAAAAAAGGCAAATGACATCTGAATGTTACTAAAAAAAAATGACTTTTGGACCCCAGGGGGTCCCCTGACTGTGCTCTGAGAACTGCTGGTTGGTGTAAGGGTAAGATCGTGATCACTGTGGCCAGATAGACTTATGGGGGTGCCAGAGTCTAGGCCAAGTCTGTGGAGGACATGGGGGATGTAGGGGGCTCAGACCTCAGAGCTACTGGTGCAGTGGGAATCAGGATCCCTCCCGCCAAGCAAGCTAGGTGAGCTCTTCTGGGCCCTGAGGCCAGATTCTGACGACACCTTGGCTCCTGCGCTCATGAGCCTCATCTGTAAAATGGGATGAGAGCAATTCGTCCCTCCCTGGGCGGAGGTGCTGCTTGAACCTCAGAATCCCCGTGCAACGAGGCCTTGTGATGCCATAGCCAATGAGGCTCAGCCCCAGCCACACACCTTGAGATGTTAAAACAGCCTCAAAGCTCATCTTCAGCTGTTCAGTGGCTAGTGAATTGATTAACTTATTGAACGGTTAAGTGCTTACCACGTTCTAGAAGTTCTGGGGAAGTGCCTGGCCCCTGGGAATCATGGCTGGCTCCGAGGGGTTTGGATTTGCTGTGGGGTATCTCCATTGGCCCTCAGGGGTATTCCTGATGCTCTCTGGATTTCCTTCTGCTTTCTCTGCCAGGGGCATTTTCAGCTCTCCCTGCAGATTTTCAGCCTGCGCCCTGGGTGTGTTTTCCCCATCTGCAAAGCGCTCTGATTTGCTCTGTGGCGGGCATTTCTATGAGCTGAGGAAGCTGTCCCCGTCTGTTCTGCAAGCGTGTCCCACCTGGGATGAAAAGGAACCCCCGGCGGCTGTGGAGGGAGGGTTCCACTGTTCTCGGAGAGTGGTTACACCCACTCTGAGAAGGCATGCCGCTGCCCACTTACTCTGTGGGACTAGGTGCGCCGGACTCTCTGCAGGAGGAGCCCCTGGGCCTATGACCTAGAGTCGGGAGGGCTCCTACCTGTTCTCTGGTAGGAGAGAAAGACTCAGCCTCTCTGGAGGTTCCCCCACCTGCTCTGTTTAAACAAGTGTATCTTCTTGGTAGTGTTGTGGCAGGGGAGCAGGGGTGGTGTTGTCCAGCAGGGATGTGAGGGTGCTCCCACAGCTGGGGGTGGTCCCACCCCGTGAGGCCATGCACGGAGAAGGTGCTGCCCATCAGCACCAAGTTACTGGTCATGGGAGAAGGACTGGTCCTTCCCTCAAACCCACAGTGTCACAAGGAGGCAGGAAGGATGGTGCCTAAACGGGGAGCACTGCTGCCCCCTCGTCCCACACCAACCTCAAGGCGAATAACCTTGCACATCTGTGGACAGTGGGCCAGTCAAGGGCTTTTGCCTCGACTGACACATTGAAGCCTTTTGTCAGATTCAAGGTCAACAGAAATAATTTTTCCTTCCCTCCCTCCCTCCCTCTCTCCCTCCCTCCCTCCCTTCCTTCCTTCCTTTCTTCCTTCCTCTCTCTCTCTCTCTCTCTCCCTCCCCCTCCCTCCCTCCCTCCCTCCCTCCTTTCTTTTTTAGATGTAGTTTCGTGCTCTTATTGCCCAGGCTGGAGTGCAATGGTGCAATCTCAGCTCACCAAAACCTCCACCTCCTGGGTTCAAGTGATTTTCCTGCCTCAGCCTCCAGAGTAGCTAGGATTACAGGCATGCGCCACCACACCCGGCTAATTTTGTATTTTTAGTAGCGACGGGGTTTCTCCATGTTGGTCAGGTTGGTCTCGAACTCCTGACCTCAGGTGATCCACCCACCTCGGCCTCTCAAAATGCTGGGATTACAGGTGTGAGCCACTGCTCCTGGCCAATTTTTCTTGTTTTATAAGGGAGGAAAGTGAGGCTCAAAGAAGGACCCTGACTTGCTAGAACCTCACAGTTCACAGGTCACTGTGACTAGAATTGAGTTTTATCTGGCAGGCAATGGGAAGCCATTGAAGAATTTTGAGCAGGGGAGTGATATAGCCAGGCTACTTTCTAGAAGATGACTCTGGGGGTGAACAGTCACCCAAGGGAGAAATCAGGGCAGAGGAGGCGCAGTGGGGGTGCAGCTCCCCCTGCCCCTCTGGCTGCCCTGTCCTTGCTCTGTGCACGGGACCCAGGAGACCAGCCAGTGCAGCCCTGAGTTGTGTCTGATTTCCCCCAGGCTGTGTGGCCTGCGCATCCTGCAACCTTACGCCGAGAGGATCCCCGTGGTGGCCACAGCCGGCATCACCATCAATTTCACCTCCCAGATCTCCCTCACAGGGCCTGGTGTGCGGGTGCACTATGGCTTGTACAACCAGTCGGACCGTGAGTATGGGCAGCCGGGGGAACCCCCTGCAGTGACTCCCTGCCTCTTGGCCATCCCTGGAACCACCAAGGGGACTGTAGGCAACTGCTTATGAGGCCGAACAAAAGGAGGGGGGGAGAGAGAGAGAGAGAGAGAGAGAGAGAGAGAGAGTTTGTGCTTGCACAAATTTATGCAGCTTTGTGTGTGCCCACGTGTGTAAGGCAGCCACATGGTTTGCAAGAATACATACTCATACATAGCCTGTGCGTGTGTCTGGATATGTACGTGTGTTCTGTGCGTGTGTCTGGATATGTATGTCCGCTTGGAATGTGTACACAGGTGCCCAGGAACACACGGTACCTGTCCATGTGTGTGTGAGTGAACAGGTGCATGCATGTCTTTGTGCGCCTTTGGGGGTATGCATGGCCTAACAGCGCCCTCCCTGCCTCCACGGTCCCCTGTGGTTTCACAGCCTGCCCTGGAGAGTTCCTCTGCTCTGTGAACGGACTCTGCGTCCCTGCCTGTGATGGGGTCAAGGACTGCCCCAACGGCCTGGATGAGAGAAATTGCGGTGAGCAACCCGCCCGCACATACCTCCTCTCCCCGCTAATCCCTCCTCCCTCCTCACCTTCCCTGCTCTGAGCTGAGTGGAGACCCCACTCCTACATGTAGCTTCCATTATCAACACCCAGGAAGTGGGGTTCTCTCACTGTGCAGGGGTGGCAAGATGAGACCACCTCGTGGGACAGTGGCAGGGACAAGTGGGGAGCCAGGTCTCCTGACTTCCAGCTCAGGGCTATCACCCCCACCCCTGTCCCAGCCAGCCTTCCAAGAAGGAACAGAATGGGTGAGGGAGATGTCCCCCTCCTCTGCCCTGTCAAAGGTTTAAAGATGTGGGAAGAGGGAAGCAAGATGTTCATGGCCGGGGGGTGGGGGGTGATCCTGCCACGGTGCTGGGGGAGGTGCCTCATATTTGGAAACTGAACATCTGGCTTCAAGTTCTGGCTCAGCCGAGTGACCTTGGACAAGGCGCCTCATCTGTTTCCACCAATGAAATGGGGTATCTCACAAGGTTGCTGTGAAACTTTGGGCGTAAAGTAGCAGAGAAAGAGGCCGGGCGCAGTGGCTCATGCCTGTAATCCCAGCACTTTGGGAGAGCGGATCAACTGAGGTCAGGAGTTCAAGATCAGCCTGGTCAACATGGTGAAACCCTGTCTCTACAAAAAGTACAATAATTAGCTGGGTGTGGTGGCAGGAGCCTGTAATCCCAGCTACTTGGGAGTCTGAGGCAGGAGAATCGCTTGAACCTGGGAGGTTGCGGTGAGATCGTGCCATTGCACTCCAGCCTTCATGACAAGAGCGAGATTCCGTCTCGAAAAAAAAAAATAATAAAATAAAATTAAATTAATTTAAAGTAAAGTAGCAGAGAGAGATTTGTGATCGGTAATGTGCAATACAGCACACCTTCCACAGGCATTGCCAAGCCCTGGCTGGCTCCTCTGGCTTCCTCCCACCTGTCCCCTCTCTGTGTCTCCACACAGTTTGCAGAGCCACATTCCAGTGCCAAGAGGACAGCACGTGCATCTCACTGCTTAAGGTCTGTGACGGGCAGCCTGACTGTCTCAACGGCAGCGATGAAGAGCAGTGCCAGGAAGGTAGGACAGGGCCTGGCTGAGTGTCTGGAGGGACACCAAAGGCAGTCTAGGCCTGCTACATGCTTCAGCAAAGGTTTCTAGCTTCTTGTCCCAACACCCACCAACCCCTCTGTATTTACACCTGTATATCTATCCATCCATCCATCCATCCATTCATCTATCTTCTGGTCTCCAATCACCCTGTCTGTCCATCAATTCATACAGCTACCCATTTATCCATGCATCTACTGACCTTTGTAACCACTGATCTCTCTATCATCAAACTGTCAATCTACCCACTTATTAGTTTGGCTGACTACCTGCCTGTAATGGCCACTGTTCCATCCATCTGTCCATCCATCCATCCATCATCAATCCATCATCCATCCATCATCCATTCATCCATCCATCCACCCATCCATCATCCATCCATCCATCCATCCATCCATCCATCATCCATCCATCATCCATCCATCCACCCATCCATCATCCATCCATCATCCATCCATCCATTCATCCATCAATCCATCATCCATCCATCATCCATCCATCCATCCATCCATCATCCATCCATCCATCATCCATCCATCATCCATCCATCCATCCATCCATCCATCCATCCATCCATCATCCATCCATCCATCTACCCATCCATCCATCATCCATCCATCCATCATCCATCCATCATCCATCCATCCATCCATCCATCCATCCATCCATCCATCATCCATCCATCCATCTACCCATCCATCCATCCATCCACCCATCCACCTACCCATCCACTGATCTCCCTAGCACCCTGTCTATCCACTGGTCCTTACATCCATCCATCCATCATCCATCCATCCATCTACCCATCCATCCATCCATCCATCCATCATCCATCCATCATCCATCCATCCATCCATCCATCCATCCATCCATCCATCATCCATCCATCCATCTACCCATCCATCCATCCATCCATCCATCCATCCACCCATCCACCTACCCATCCACTGATATCCCTAGCACCCTGTCTATCCACTGGTCCTTACATCCACACATTTATCCAACCTTCTAGCTGTCTGTCAGTCTCCCTAATGGACCACCACTCCACCCATTGGCTTTTCTGCTCAATCTTCTGTCTGGGTCTATTTATCCATCCATCCATCTACCTACCCAACTGACCAACTGACCATCACTTGCAGACTATCCAGCAATAGGCAAGGTGCAGTGAGGAAGTGGGAATAAAACAGCAGAGATGCGGCCCCTGCCTTCCAAGGCTTATCTGTTAGGACGATACGATGAGTGACTCTCCTGCCGTGTAGGTAGATTGTGGGGCAGGGAGGAGGTCAGACATGAAAAGCTTCCTGGAGGAGGTAGGCGTTTGGCCCTTGGTGAGAGCTAAAACTTAAATGGGCAGGAGGAAAGGAGAGAGGCAAAAACCAAGTGGTGGAGTGGAAAGTTCTTTACAGTGAAAAGCAGGGAGGAAAAGGTGGCAACCGGGCAGGGCCAGAGCCTGGGAGACTGCCAGGCTAGGTGGGGACTCTGGTCTGAAAGTGGAGGCACAGTTCTGCTTTGAAGTTCCACACCAGAGGGGGAGGCATGATCTTGTGGTCAGGAGCTCCAGTCTGAGAATGGAGACACTGCTTTGCACTCAACAGACCAGTCTCAGTGGAGGGGCTGGGGGTGCGGGGGACATGGCCTGCTTTTAGGAAACCCTGAAGGAGACTCAGGAAAAGACTCTCCAGTCACCTCCTGGCTCTTCTGGCTCCATCGTTCCTGCACCCTACTTTGGAAGTCTCCTTTGGGGCTCAGAGACCCACCTTCTGTGCCCTGTCCCCATCCCCTCTGTCCCAGGGGTGCCCTGCGGGACATTCACCTTCCAGTGTGAGGACCAGAGCTGTGTGAAGAAGCCCAACCCACAGTGTGATGGGCGGCCCGACTGCAGAGACGGCTCAGACGAGCAGCACTGTGGTGAGCCCTCCCCGGCTGCCTGGGGCCCTGGAGCTTGGGAGGGAGGGGGGTGCCCACAGCAGGACGCTGGAGGGAAATCTCACCCCTGTTCCCTGGTCTCTCTATATCCCACCCTCTGCCCCCTCACACCTGGGTCTTTATGATCTCTCCCCCTCCACTGTTCTCCTGTTCTCTGTCTCTCCATCTCTTTCCTTTGCCCTTCCTCTCTGTCTGCTTCTCCCCTTCCCCTCCTCCTCTGTCCACCCCACCACCTGCCCCCCATCCCCAGACTGTGGCCTCCAGGGCCCCTCCAGTCGCATTGTTGGTGGGGCCGTGTCCTCCGAGGGTGAGTGGCCATGGCAGGCCAGCCTCCAGGTTCGGGGTCAACACATCTGTGGGGGCGCCCTCATCGCTGACCGCTGGGTGATAACAGCTGCCCATTGCTTCCAGGAGGACAGGTAAGCGGGAGGGTGTGGGGGCCTAGGCCATAAGAGGCAAGGGCAGGGAAGGCCGGGTGGGTGGTGCACTGTATCTGAGCTCTTTGCAGATAGAGGGAAGGGTGGTGAACCCCTCAGACAGGCTGCTGTGATGTGGGTTCTAGTCCTGGCTCCACCAGGACCTACTGGGTCCCTGGACACGTTGTTCCACCTCTCTGCCATCTACTTTCGGTATCTTGCTTTAAGTTGGGCCAGTGATTCATTCATTCATCTCATTCACTCATTCAGCAACACTTGTTGTGCTCTTACTATGTGCCAGGGGCTATGCTAGATGCTGGGGATATAGTAAAGGACAGAACTGCCCTACCTGGTCATAAGCTATGACACTCCTCCAGGTGTGACATGAAGTAGCAGGGAGCCCCCAGGGGACATCTCATCAGGCCTCATGGCCATCTTTCCCATCTGCTTGGTGGGCTGAAACCTCCCCCAATCCACCCGCAGACAGATCTGGGCTCCAGATCCTGCCCCCAGAACGTGCACAGGGATCCTCTTTTGTATCCTCTCTGGGGCACAGGTTGCTCTGACCACCTAGCTTTCTTTAACCCCATCCCAGGCTCCCCACTGCCCTCAGGTAGAGAGACCCGAAGGCTGCCCACCTGCCATGCAGGCAGCTGACTGCGGCAGTCCAACTCCTCCACGGTCAACGCCCACCCCCTCCCCACCAGGACCCACCAACCTCGGGGAACTCAGAGCAGCCTGGGTCCGTAAAGTGCTAAGGGAAAAAGAAATCTGTGTCGAGGGCCTGGCCCTGTGCTACATTTTTTAGATACACGGTCTTACTGGATTCTCTCAAGAACAGTCGAGTAGAAAATGCCATTCTCATTTTGCGATGAGGTGGCAGAGGCTTAGAGAGGCACACACATGTCTAAGGAGGGATGAAACTGGGGCCTGGAACCCAGGCAGGCCGAGGGGGTGAAAGCTGAACGCTGTACCACCAGCTAGGCGGCCTTCAGGGAGGGAAGGGAGGGCGGGATGTGGAGGGCACTGTCCCAGGCGGCAGTTGGCTATCCTGAGGGCCCCTGGATGGGGAGAGGCAGCTTCCCCCCACCCCACCCCACCCCAGCATGGCCTCCCCGGCGCTGTGGACGGTGTTCCTGGGCAAGGTGTGGCAGAACTCGCGCTGGCCTGGAGAGGTGTCCTTCAAGGTGAGCCGCCTGCTCCTGCACCCGTATCACGAAGAGGACAGCCACGACTACGACGTGGCGCTGTTGCAGCTCGACCACCCGGTGGTGCGCTCGGCCGCCGTGCGTCCCGTCTGCCTGCCCGCGCGCTCCCACTTCTTCGAACCCGGCCTGCACTGCTGGATCACGGGCTGGGGCGCCCTGCGCGAAGGCGGTAAGCGGCCGGCACGGGCGGCGGGAGGCGGAGGGAGACCGTGCGGAGCCGCTTCGCCACACCCGGCCTGGAGAAGGGCGGGGCCTGGGGGTCCAGGGGCTCCACCCCACAGGCCCTTTACTCCTGGGATTCAAATTGGGCTGAATTTTACGGTACAAAACTACCCTTTAATGCGGCCCATAGGCCCCCGCCCCTGCCCTCCTAGCTCTTCCCTTCATTCTGGAAGGGCATTATGTGTGGGGCAAAGGGGCAGGTCTGGGGGGCCACTGCCCACGCGCAAGCTCCACCTGCTGCTCCTTGGCCTGCAAGGGCGGAGGCTCTTAATTATTAGCACTTTCCACATCCAGGCTGAATTTTAGGGGAACATGACTTCACGTAATCCATCCAACAGCCCTGGGGCGGATGCTGTGGCCCCATTTTATGGATGGAGAAACCAAGGCTCCACACACAGCCAGAGAGGACTGGAGCAGAGATTAGAACCCAGGACTGGCTGCCTCCAGAGCCCCCGCTCTTCCTGCTACTGCTCTCAGAAACAGGGTCTCTCCCCTTTCTACCTTCACTAACCAGAGCTGGCCGTCCCTGGCGGCCACCGTACAGTTTTGGGGACACAGACCCAGCTGGCAAACCTACAGACATGCCCTGCAGCCTTAGTGTTGGTGGCTTCAAAAATGTGTACAATGACTTACAATCTGGAGGCAGGCAGGGCTGCAGAGATATTTTGAGGATGGGGAAACTGAGGCTCAGAGGAACAGTGACTTACCCAAGGGGATGGCAGAGGTCATGGCGAAGCAAAGGCTGGTTCATTCACTGTTCCTTCACTCATTCAGTCACTCAATGACACTTTCTGAGCACCAGCTATGTACCAGGTATGGGGTTAAGGGAAGGGTACATCAGGATGGAGAGAGAACATTCTCGGGGGAGACAGACAGTGATAAGGGCTGGCATGGATGGGGAGGTGTAGGGACAGTGGAGACACAGAGGCGGCTCCTACCTAGGTAGGGTCAAGGGAGGCTTCTAGGGGAGGGTTGTTTAAGCTGAGGCCTGGAAGATGAGTTGGCAACATCCAGACAAAGGGAAAAGACATTCAGGTGAGGACACAGGTGCCAAGACAGGAAGACCTGAGAACATCCACAGCCTGCCAGAGGGGCCAAGGTCGGGGGCAGGTGTGCCTGGGCAAGGAGCAGCCAGAAGGGTAGACAGGGCCTTGCCAGCCAGTGTAAGGATCTTGGGCCAGGAGTTCTCCCTCCTGCCTGCACCTTAGAACCATGCGTGGAGCTTCAAGAAAAACCCTTGTATCAAGGCTTCCCAGGGGACTGTGATATGCTGCCCTCCTGGAGAAGCACTGGGGTGGACTGCAGAGTTGGGGCTCCGCAGAGTTGTAAGGAAACGGTGAAGGGGTAAGATGTGGGCTTTGGAGACATCCCCAGGTGCTGTAACATAGCAGCGAAGAGCCAGCCAGAGCCCAGAGGTGCCTGAGCAGACAGAGGTGGGGGACAAGACGCTGGAGTAAGACACTCATCCACATGGGCTTCTTTTTTTTTGAGATGGAGTTTCGCTCTTGTTGCCCAGGCTGGAGTGCAATGGTATGATCTTGGCTCACTACAACTTCTGCCTCCTGGGTTCAAGCGATTCTCCTGCCTCAACCTCCTGAGTAACTGGGATTACAGGCGTGCACCACCACACCCAGCTAATTTTGTATTTTTAGTAGAGTCAGGGTTTCTCCATGTTGGTCAGGCTGGTCTTGAACTCTTGACCTCAGGTGATCTGTCCGCCTCGGCCTCCCAAAGTGCTGGGATTACAGGCGTGAGCCACTGCGCCCGGCCCTCCACATGGGCTTTGGTCAGGGGCTCTGTCTCCATGAACCCCACAGAGAAAGAGCTAGAATAAAGTGACAGGGAGGCAGAGGGGCAGATGCAACCCCAGCAGAGGTAAGGGTGGGCAGAGCAGGAGAGAAGCAGGCTCCTGAGATGCAAAGGGAATAGCATTAGGGAGAACAGAGAACAGGGGCTCCAGGTTCCTTAGATCTCACTTTTGCCCTTGACCACGGACAGGCCCCACCAGCAATGCTCTGCAGAAAGTGGACGTGCAGTTGATCCCACAGGACCTGTGCAGCGAGGCCTATCGCTACCAGGTGACGCCACGCATGCTGTGTGCCGGCTACCGCAAGGGCAAGAAGGATGCCTGCCAGGTGAGTCCCCCCCGGCGTGGGAGGGAGAGAGCAGAAAGGATGCTGCTCACATCATCAGGGTCTGGCCCTATGCTCACATCAGCCTGCTGAAGCCTCCCATCCTCCCAGCAAGGTGGCGATGGCTGCCCTCACTTTACAGAAGAGGAGACTGGGGGTTGGAAAGGTTGAGGAGCTTGCCCAAGGTTGCAGAGCCATGGATCAGAAGAGATGCTGTGACGGGCAGGTGTTAGGCTCAAACCCAGTTCTGCTCCTTGCCCATCACAAGGCACTAGGCCCAGGGTCCCACAGTGAGGTGGATGCAAGGAAGAAGAAAGGCGTGTCAGCCACAGAAGGGCGGCGGAGGCAGAGTGGAGGTGTGGGGACACAGCCACAGTTCCAGGAGGGCCCAGGCTGGCTGGAGGACAAAGAGGGCTGGCTTGGGCTCTCTCCATTTAGCAGGCGAGGAAAAAGCAGAGCTTTAAGACTGAACGTGAGTCTCTGGCACCCAGTCAATTCCCAACAGTCAGGACTTAATCCCCATGGCCCCTCTCCTGGAAAGGGGGTGCCCTTACCCTGCTTCAGTCCTTTCTCCTTTCCCCCTTTCAGGGTGACTCGGGTGGTCCGCTGGTATGCAAGGCACTCAGTGGCCGCTGGTTCCTGGCAGGGCTGGTCAGCTGGGGCCTGGGCTGTGGCCGGCCTAACTACTTCGGTGTCTACACCCGCGTCACAGGTGTGATCGGCTGGATCCAGCAAGTGGTGACCTGAGGGACTGCCCCCCTGCAGAGCAGGTCCCACCTCCTGGACTCAGAGAGCCCAGGGCAATTGCCAAGCAGGGGGACAAGTATTCTGGGGCGGGGGGTCGCGAGCGGGCCCTGTGGTGGCAGGAGGTAGCATCTTGTCTTGTCCCTGATGTCTGCTCCAGTGATGGCAGGAGGATGGAGGAGTGCCAGCAGCTGGGGGGTCAAGACGTCCCCTGGGGACCCAGGCCCACACCCAGCCCTTCTGCCTCCCGATTCTCTCTCCTCTGTCCCCTTCCTCCACTGCTGCCTATTGCAAGGAAGTGGCTCAGCAGCAAGAATGCTGGCTCTACGTCCCCAGGAGTGTCTGAGCTGTGCCCCACTCTGTACAGAGGCTGCTTGGGCAGCCTTGCCTCCAGAAAGCAGATGCCAGCTTCGGAAGCCCCTGGTCTAACTTGGGATCTGGGAATGGAAGGTGCCCCCATAGGAGGGGACCCTCACAGCCCTGGGGACTGCCAGGTGGGCCGGCTGCCACCGTAAGCCAAAAAAGGTGGGGAAGCCCTGACTCCAAGGTCCTTGCCCCACCCCTGCCTGCCACCTGGCCCCTCACAGCCCAGACCCTCACCAGCAGGTGAGCTCAGCTGCCCTTTGGAATAAAGCTGCCTGATCCAAGCCCCTCTGCTGGAGTTTGAATGGGGACCCGGGCACCAGCCTCATGCCCTTGACTGAAGCAGTCCCTGCTTCCAGCACAGCCTGTTTGACAAGTGTCCAGAAGGCCAAGGTGGGCTCAGTGGCAGCAGGCGTGGCCACTGAGGGCCACTGAGGGCTGGGGCCTCTGGGGCAGCTGCCCAGGTCCCAGGACAAATGCTGGGAAGGCAATCGTTTGGGGACCCTCAGGTCACAGGGAGGGATGTGAGGAGCAATGGTCTCCTTTTGGAACCTTAAAGGAAACAGGCTCAGAGAGGCGGTTAAGACATCCTCACGGTGGCACTGGGGGTTAGGAGTGGAGGTGGCATAGACTCCTGTCTCCCAGTTCCCCGTCTGCCATGGCCCCCTCCAGCGCGACACTCATTCCCTTTGAATTCTTTGAGTCATTGAGTAGGCACTGTGCTGGGGCCACAGGGGTCAAGGACCTGGCTCCTGACCCCAGAAACAATGGGGGATGATCCAGTGGGAAGGGGATGGAGGGGAGCGCAGACCGGGCAAGTCAAGGCAAGCTGCCTGGAGCCTGTGAGACTTGAGCTGGGGTTCAGAGGTAGTCAAGGTGGGAATATCCGGGAGGGATATTCCAGGCAGGGGAAGAGCATGTGCAAAGGCACAGAGTCCCGGAAGAATGAGACACACTAGGACCCAGCAAGCCGAGTGAGTGTTAGAACAGAGCTTGAGAGGGGAAGGACTGAAGAATTCAGAGGGGCAAACTGAGGCGGGATAGCAGAGCCTGGAGCTGAGCCAAGGATTTGACCCTGCAAGTTCTGTGGAGCCATGGTAGGCTCTATAGCATAGGGGTGACATGAGTGGATTCACATTTTGGAACCAGCCTTGGCACCAGTGTGCAGGGAGTGGCAGGCAGGGAGGCTGGTTAGGCCACTGCAGGATTCCGGGAAGGAGAGGATGGGCCGGGACTGAGCGGCGCCACGGGATGGACTGGAGGATGATTTCGGACCCCTGAAGGCAGTTGTGACCGAGCCAGGGGGCCTGCTGGAGGTGAGGGTGGGTGCTCAAGTGTGGACAACTCTTTCTGGAAGCCTAACTGGGAGCGGAAGGGACAGAGGGCGCTTCAGAGGGGCCCTAGACTGAAGAGGGATTTTTTCCAACATGGGTGCTGCTGCCAGGTCTGTGGGTGAATGAGGCAGAAGGGGAACCAGGGACAGGAAGCACCCACCTGGGTCCTGCCAGGAGGAGCCGGGGCAGCTGGGCGAGCAGGGGGCGTCTCCAGAGCAGGTGGGCAGAACACATGCAGAATCCCTTGGGTGATCTGGAATTACCGTGGGCCCTACCCCAGTCTTCATCGGAATCCTGGAGGGGTGGGGGATGTCATCTGTTCTCCTAACAAGCCTCCTGGCGACTCTTGCAAGCATAGTTAGACCCCAAAAGTGAGGCCAGCTTTGAAGTGGAGCATCCTTAGGGGAAGTGGCGAGGCCCTCCAGGCTTGAGCTGGCAAGAGGGTGCCCCTGCCCCAGCCTATGGAGGGCCTGCGCCCTAGGGGCTCACTGCCCCGGCAGGACTTCCTCGAGCAGCGGGGAGGCTCGGCAGGACTGGGGAGTTGAAGGAACTGGCCAGGGTGGGTGGAGGTCTGGGGTCTGGGCTGGGTCCAGCAGGCTCAGAGAAAGGAGAGGGCGGGGTGTTTATATTTCCCGGGATTTCGGGCAGAGGGGTGGCAGCAATAGGGAGGGACGGAGGTGGCCCAGGTGTTAGAATAGAAGTGGGGGTGGCGGCGTCCTGAGAGGTTTAGGATGTGGCAGAGGCAGCCCAGGGCTCTCCCTAGAGTTCTGTTTTCTGGCTCCTGGCCAGGTAGGGCAGCTGCTTTGGTATCTGGCCCCAGGGCAAAGGATGTAGCCAGTTCCCCAAGCCCTCCCTGCAACACACCGAGGAAAATGACAACAGGGCAGCGTCCCTGGGCTTTCAGGAGAAAGCTGCATTCCTCTGGGCCAGTCTACCACACCTTGAGTTCCCCAAAAGTGGCCCAGAGAAAGAGAGGGTGACAGCCAGGCTGGGCTGTTCCTTCGGGTTTTATTACACGGTGGGGTCCGACATAGCCGAGAAGCAAGGACCCATCCCAGGAATTCAAACACAGGACGGCCGCTGGCTCAGCCGCCACACCCACTCTCCCGGGGCAGTTCCTGAGTCCTCCACCGCCCCTGCCCAGCCCCTTCTGCTGCCTCTCCCCGCCCCCCAGGCCAGGCGCTGGGCCAGCAATGCAAATGGCTGGGGATGGGATCACCAAGGTGAAGGCCAAGCCACCTACCCCTACTCTGACAGGCCAGCTCCCCACAACCTGCATCCCCAATACCTGAATCTCCATTTGCAAACACAGTGTTACGCCCAGGGGTTGGGCTGGGTCCTTCCCATCCCAGGGCAGCTGAAGGTGGGCGGCCCCTATATACTGCCCGAGGGCCTTCAGGGACCTTGCTCCTCTGTGCACCCTCACAACAACCCTGTGAGGTAGGTGGGGTGGGAGGAGTTACCCCCTGGACTAAGGCTCAAGGAGGCGATGTGACTGGGCCAGGAAGGAGTGCATCCGCCATGCAGCAGGGGAGCCCGGGAAAGGGGACGCGGGGGCTGGAGAGACACAGCCAGACATTGCCGCACGTCCGCCATGAGCAGTCGGCTCTGCCCAGAGATCCTGGGGCCCACCTTGGGCCTTGAGAGGTCCCGGGGGCCCCCGCCCCGCCCCGGCCCTGGAGGCAGGGGTAAGTCACAGCCCCACAGGTGCAGACAGAGGAGGCTTCTTCCTTCTCAGGCCCGGGGCCCACCCCATGGTACAAAAATAAAGGATTTCAGATGGGAACCCCAAGTCCCTGGAGGTGATCTGGGGCCTCACATCCGGGTGCCTCTGGCTTGTAACAGCTAGAAAAAAAAGAGGGGAAGGACAGGAGGATGGGAGGGACGGAGGTGGGGCCGGTAAGGAGGGGGTGATGCAGGGCCAGGGGGTGGAGGAGATTGAAGGGGCGGGGAGAGGGAGAGAGAGAGAGGCAGTTGAGTCACAGGCTTCCTTCTGGAGAAGGCGATGGGGCTGAGGCCCAGAGAAAGTGGATTCAGAATTGAGTGGGGGAGGAGCAGGAAGGGTGCCCAACTAACCCATCCAGGAGCCCCATGCCCTGTCTTGGGCTCAGTGGCAGCCACCTACAGAGGCCAGATTCTGCCAAGACTCTTAAGGGGGTGGGATGGGGGTTGGTCAGGCTGGGAAAAGCACTGATGCCCCAGGCGAAAGGAGCCACGGAGAGCAGCTGTTTGTCCCCATTTTAGAGGCAATTGTGGCCCAGAGAGGGACAGTGACTTGCCCAAAGTCACACAGCAGGAAGAAAAGACTGGGGTGGGGGCTGGTGGGCATGTGGCCAGGTTTTTTTCTGACACTCTGCAATCCTTAAGCCAGCTCTGGCTGACACTTCATAGGCCAAGGGTATCCAAAAGTGGCCTGTCCTCCCCATCCCCACAGAAATAGGGGATGCCACAAGGCAGTGACACAGGAGCTCCTGGATGTGCAGGGACTCGGCCAAGGCCTCTGGCTTCAGCGGGTCCCTCCCTCCCCGCAAGCCTGGCTCTGGTGCTGATGGGCGGGTGGGAAAGTTCCCACTCCCTAACTTTCTTCTCTCAGAGCTTCACCCCCAAGGCCAAGGTCGGATGAGAAACTTTGGTGGGTGGAGATAATCAGCCGAAAGCTCGGCTCAAGTCCAAGCATCAAGAGATGAGCACCCTCCTCGCTCCACCCCTCCCTCCAGCACCGCCAAGCTACAAACCAGGGATGGCAGCTCTGGGGGCGGGCGAGGGGCCGAGGAGAAGCCCTCACTGCAAGCTCAGCCTCAGGTCTGAGAGAGTGCGGACGGGAACCTGCAAGGAGGAAACGTGAGGAGGAGGCCGGGAGGAGAGGAGGCGGGGCAGGGCCTGCGGCCGGGGCCCAGCCTCAGTGGTGCCCGGCAGGGTTGGTGGGCACAGAGGAGGTGCAGCTGCGCCCCTCCTCCCCGGGCTGGGAGGCAGGAGGTACCAGAAGGGGCGCAGGAGGCGGCAGGCAGGACGCTCTGGGATGCAGGGCCAGGGGGCCTGGGTGGAGGGCACGGGAGGCTGGGACCAGGGCAGACCCGGGATGGAGGCGTGAGCAGGCAGAGAGAAAACCCGGACAGGGGCAGAGAGGGAAGAGGCAGGGTGCAGATGAGATCCAGGAGGAAGAAGAGGTGGATGAAGATGAGGCAGGACCTCCAGCGGGAAGCGGAGGAGGAGGCAGTGGTGGGAGGGAGAAAAGGTTAGCGGGATCCTGAGATGACTGGGCTGCAAAGAGAAAGTGAGAGAAGGGATGGTTATGCGGGTGAGGCGCCAGGCAAGTGGCTGAGCTAACCCTGGTGCCCCCCCAGCAGCCCCGGGGCCCCCGGTTCTGCAGCTGGCTCCAGCAGGGAGTGGGCGGGAGGCTCCGACTTTGCTTAGCAATCATCCTCCTGGGGGTTGGCTGCACCTTTCTCCTGTGCATCTGCCTCCACCTGCACCTGTTCCACCTCCACCTCCTCCACCTCCTCCTCCTGCTGCTGCTGCTCCTCCAGCTGCTCCTCCGTGCTCTGTGAACCAGCCGGCGGACCCAGGGAAGAAAGAGTGGAGACACTAACAGAGGGGCCAGGGCCTGCTGGCTATCCCCAAAGACCCGGTCTCAGGCAAGGTGAAAGGGACCTCAGGAGAGGGAAGGGCTCCAGCCACAGAAGCTGGGGGCATCTTCTCCAGTCCCCTGGGCGGCTTGGGGAGGGCCTGGGGAAAGCAGCTGAGGATGGGGTGCTGTGGTCATGCTCTGGGGTCAGCCTGGCTGCTGTTACATAGAGTGAGGCTACAGCGAGGGCATGAAGCAGAACGGGGAGGGTGTGGGACTGGGGTATCCCTGAGGGGTGCCTGGGAAGGCCTTGTTTGGAAAGACTGCTCCTGAGTAGAAATGTGGCCAAGGAAGCCCCAGGGCAGACACCACCCAGATCTGGGATGCCACCAGGTCTCTGACACCCCAGGTCCAGGGGCTTTGGCCCAAAAAGGCAGAAGGAGCAGGCTCGCTCTGCACCCTTGCAGGGCAGCACCAGCCCTGGCAGTGGTGGGGGTGGCTGGGCAGGCAGGGTGCGTCACAGCAGGACAGGGAGGCAGACAGACAGACAGACAGGAAGCCAGAGATAAGCCTCCACTGTGCAGGGGTGGGCCCCAGGTGGGGCAGCCTGCCTTCTTCCCAGCCTGGTTCACGCCTGCTCTGTGGCTCTGCCGAAGGCCCTTGGGACTTCCCACCACAGCACTGTGTCCAGAGTGGCAGGACCCCCGCTCGGCCCCCTCCCCACAGTGGTACAGTGGATGCTGCCAGGGCACTCTCAGGAGGCTGCCTCAACAGGCCAGGCAGACACACAGGACTGGCAGCCACCAGGCTGCCCCCATCCTGCAGAGCGGCCAAGGAGGGGGCCTGGGAAAGGGGCAGGAGTTACAGCGGTGGCTTCCCTATCCTGGCTCAGGCCAGCTGGGGACATGCACCCGTCCCTGGGGAATAAACGGCCATGTGGGATCCCAGAAGCTCCAGGCTCCAAGGCACCACAAAGAGTACGTGATCCTCCCCTCTCACTTCAGAGAGCACAGCAAAGGTGCCGGGAGAGGACAAGCCCTGTCCTAAGTCATACAGAGTGCCACGCTGTGCCCTGACCCCTAGTCCATGCCACAGTGCCTGGTGGCCACTACGCGGCCCCCTTCACGCAGCCTCTGAGTCCACTCCGGCCGCACCCTGGGATGCTCTCATCTCACTGCTCCCAGCCTGGGCCTGGGTAACGGCAGGTGGCATGGGATGGATGGCGGTGGCTGTGAGCATGGGGTTGTGCATGGGCAGCAGGGGTGGAGAGGTGGAGGGATGGTGCAGGCGCAGGGGTGGGAGAGGCGGGGAGGGGGGAGGGAGACAGGAACCTTCTCTGGACACAGGCTGAGGCGGGTGGGCTCACCTTGGTTTTGCGGCTGGATTCTGAGCTCAGCCCATTCGGGGAGCTGTGGAGCTCCTTGGACACCACACACAGGAACTCTGCCTGGTCCTCGCTGCCGTAGTTGTAGGAGGAGCCGATGTTCACCAGCTAGAGGGGCGGAGCATGGGGAGAAAGACGCAGGTTGGTGGTGGGGGCCATGGGGCCGGGTAGGGCAGACCTCGGCACTCAAATCAAGACACCAGCTCAGGTTCTGCTCTTGCGGCTTGCCGGGCCCGCTCCCGGGTTTGTAGAGGGCACCTCTGGGCAGGAGGGTGGCGTCTTCCCCCTTGCAACCTGTGCCTGTGGTCTGTGCCCCAGGACCAGCCTCTCTGCCTGGCTTGGCTGGTCGGATCCCTGGTGGAGGGTGGCAGCATTACCGCTGTCCCCGCCAGCACCCCCAGCCTAGCACCAGAGCCAGGGGGCCCTTCTCTAAATGCAGGCGGAGGCCTCTAAAGGGCGGCTGTCCCCCGTTCCAGATGTGGCTGACACAGGACAAGGTTGCAGGGTGGCATTGACAAGGTGGAGCCCCACAGAATATTCCCTTCACTCCTGGAAGCAGAGGTGGGACAGGTGGTCCACTCCTGAGACCAAAGGGCAAATGACCAATGGCCCCTGGCCTGCCGGCTCAGCCTCTGAGAGCCTGTGCAATTGCCAGAGACGCCCAGAGGCTCTCAGAGTGGCCCTGCCTTTGTTCCAGGGTCCCTAGAATAACCACGCCCACAGAGCCCTTCTGGCTAAGAAATAAGAAAGTTCTTCCAGGTGATGAATCTCATTCAGCTCTCAGGGACCCTGAAGGGACTCTCAGGCCTGCTGAAGGCCTCACAGCTAGGAAGGGGTGGAGCAGGGAATGGCATCGGGGGTCCCAAGTCCTTTCTGAGGGTCGCATACTTCAATATGGATTTCTAATGATTTGCACGACACTAGTGCCAACATAGGGAGTCCTACGGAGGGCTGTAAGCTTTACTGATGGCCCTTCTAATCCTCACAACAGTCCTACAGAGGAGGTACTGTTAGCCCACTTCACCGATGAGGAAACGGGCCTGTGGAGGAGATGCAACTTGTCCAACGTGGCAGGCATGTCCATGGCGAGGCCCAGGGGTGAAGCCAGGCCTCTGGCTCTGCACTGGGCCCATTCTTCCATCCCTCCAGGCCATCCTGGGAGCCCCGACCTTCTGCCTTGCAGTCTCCATGTGCCAGGGAGCGTGTGGGTGGGTGTGGAGAAAGGTTAGCCAAGACCCTCTCCTTCTCTAAAGGCACTTCTGACCCTGGGCTCACTCTCTGGCTCTGCTCCTCCGGAAACCTGAGAGGTGGGAGGTCAGCTGCATGACTAGGGATAAAGTGCCTTGGCATAAGGATCTCCCGATGGGTAAACTGCATCTGGACTGGGAGGAACCATCGCTCACCACAAAGACCTCACGGGAAGTCACTGCTTTGGGCTCCCCTGCATGTTGCAATGCTGGCCGCTGGGCATGTCCCCTGCAGAGACCCTGAACACTGTGCATCAGGAACTGCTGGATCACGTGGTGCTGACTCAGTTCTAAGAGGCGCTGACTCCAGGTGGACTCCACTCACCTATGTGGATCTGGTCTCCTTGTACCTGGGCTGTCACTCGGGGGCCAGAGACTCGCTCATGCCACCAGACAGATCACCACCTGGTTGCTGTGAGGACTCCCACCAACAAGGATGCCCCGTGCTGCCCTGTGGCCACTGGGGCTCCTGTCCTCTCTCTCTCAGTTAACCTGCCACAAAGTGTGGTCTCTCCTAACCTTGTTTAGTTTGATTTCAGAAGACCCCTGGGGCAGCGGGGACTCTGGTGGGGAACCCAAGGCTGGGGCCGCAGGAAGGGAGGGGCCTGCTTGGTCAGAGGCCAGGAAGCCCTAGGGTGGTCCTGGTGGTACGCCCCGTCCCCAGCGCACCTGCTCAAAGCGCCAGCCGTCAGACATGGTGGAGACCATCTGCGTGAGCTCCTCCTCCTGGCACTGCAGCACGCGGTACACGTGCTTAGGCGGGACCTGGGGGCAGAAGGGTCACATAGAGGGCACCTGTGGGAGCACCAGGCACCCCAGGAGGGGCATGAGCACCTCCTGCCACCACCCCCGCAACATACCCAAAGAAGGAGAGAGGAAGAGAAAGAAGAGGTGGCTGCGGGGAGGCAGCCATGCTCTGAGTGCCTGCTCCTCACCAGGCATTCACCAGACGCCATCTCACTTAATCCTTCCAAGAATCCTAGGCATTATGGGACTTTCCATTGAGGCTCAGAGAGGTCCAGTTACTTGCCCAAGGTCACCCAGCTCAAGGGTGGAGACAGAACCAGAACACAGGTAATTCAAGAAAGAACATGGGTGGGGCTTGGGGAACATTCTGGGTCACCCTCAAGGAGTCAGGCCCTCAAGGAGACACAGAGCCTCCCCTCTTCAATCCCGTGGGCCTGGGAGATGGTTCCTCACCACCTGTCCCCCAACCCTTACACATCCCCAAGAGCAGGCGGAAAATCTCCCTCCCTCTTCCTGCAGACTGGCCAGGGAGGCCCCGGCTCCAGGCTCACAAACGCCAGCCCCAACAGCCTGTGCCGAGCCCACCAGGCGACCATCTGATGCCACGAAATGCACGATTTGCTAATCCTGCATTGCCCTCTGCAGGGCACCCTGTACCTCCACACTGACCCCCTTCTGCCTATGAGGAAGGGATGGGTGTGCCATTCCCACCCCTCTCTATCCCATAAGAGGAAATCAAGGTCCAGAGAGGGCGAGCCTGGCCCAACATCACAGAGCAAATGGGGCTGAGACAGGGACTGAACCCCAGTGTCCATCTCCCCGTCTGGGGCTGTGCTGGGCAGCCTGGGAGCCGAACAACCACGCCTCTCCTTACAGGCCAGCCTGGTCTCCCCATGATAAACACTAGTCCTGTCTTTTCCAACCTCCTCTGCCTCCTGCCCCGTCTCCCAGCCTCCCTCTCCCCACCGGCCCCTGCCCTGGCGTGTATGTTGCCCCTGCTCCTGACCTGGGTCACCGTGTAGTCCTTCTCTTCCATCCGGTCTTTGATGATGCGGATCAGCGGGCCGATGTTGTAGAACTCGGCTTCCTCCAGGACCCCTGGCACGGACAGAACAGATCCCAGGTCACTCCTTCTGCCTCCACGCCCCATTCTCCTCTTGTTCCCTCCACCCCGGAACCCACCTCCTGCTCCGATCACCCGCCCTGAGGGTGAGCTGAGTGTCTGTGAGCTCAGGGGTCAAGCGAAAGGGAGCATTTCCTTCACTGGATCCCACGCTTCTTGTGGAAGGGGCTGAGAGGCTGCCACACAGCTCTGCTGTGCTGAGCGTGGTGACCCAGGGGCACCTGCCAGGCCACAGTCTGGGGCAGCTTTAGGGCCATCAAGAGATAGCAGGGTCATTGGGACTGATCCCCAGAATGTCACCATGAGCAGGGCCCTGCCTAACTCCCGATCATGTGCTCCTATTTATTAAGCACGCTCTAAGTGCTAGGCGCATTACGTTTTTGAATTCTCAGAACTAGAAGGAGGTACTTTCATCATCCGCATTGAACAACTGGGAAAACTGAGGCTCCCAAAGAGAAGCAGCTTGTCCAAGGTCACACAGCTGGTAAGTGGCAGAGGGAACTCAAGTACCGCAGACTCCAGAGCCCTTGTCTTCCCACTGTAAGTACATACCCTTGTGACCACACGTTCCCCCAACTGCCTCACTTTACAGTTTGCAACACCCCACACGAGCTCATCACAAGTCCCAGGGATGTGAGAAGAGCCGGCCTTACTGTCCCCATCTGACAGTTAAGTTAATCTGGGAGAGGAAGATGTCAGCCTACCAGTGAAGCGATGAGCCTGCAGCTGTTTCCACTCCCCTAGGCTCCCAGAAGGCAGGGGACCTTCGGGCCCTTTCCTTGACTGGCCTCTGGGCTCCCTGGGGACAGGGCTCAAATGAGCTGAATGTGTGTGTTCCCCAAAAATCCATCTGCTGAAAACTGTGATGGGATTAGGAGGGGAGGTAATGAGATCAGGGGATACAGTCCTCAGGGTGGGATCAGTCTTCCTATAAGAAAGATTGATTGGATGTGAGGGTGATCTGGCTGTGACGTCTGTCACCCCACTGAATCGCCAGGGTTGATTTAGTGGATCTGGCTGGCTAGGTGCATGTCCCCTTCCTCCCTCACCGCTCCAGGTGTGTCCCTCCCAAAGCTGCCAGCTCCGTCGAAGAGGGCGACCACCCCCGATAGAGAACCAGTCTTTGGTCAAGGGTGTGTGAGTAGCTGCGCTGCCCTGCTAGAACCTCCAAACAAGCTCTCGAGAAGGGGCGGGCGGGGGCTAGCTGCCTCTCTTTCTGCCATGTGAGGACACAACCAGAGGTCAGCAGTCTGCAGCCCAGAAGAAAGTCCTCACCAGAAGCTGCCACAGGGCCCTGATCTCGGGTTTCTAGCCTCTAGGACCGAGAGAAATAAATTTCTGATTTTCACAAGCCACCCAATCTACGGTACTTCATGATTGCCGCCTGAAATGGCTAAGATGGGGCTCACATTTCTGATCTGCCCTCTGTCCCCGGTGCCCACACAGGACCGAACACAGAGCAGGAGGTCAGGGAGTGCTGCTACCTGATTGCGAGAATTATCCCCAGTGCCCTGGGCAGAGCCCTGCAGGTGACAGACAGCTAGCACTGCAACCCACATCCACCAGCCAGGCACTGAACTCCATGATGCATTGCTATTACCTCCTTTTATCCTCATGACAGCTCGGTGAGGTGGGTGCTATGGTCCCCCATTTCACAGATGGGGGCATGGAGGCACAGAGGGGTTAGGTCACTTTCTCAATGTCACACAGCTAGTAAGTCTCATCTCAGATCCCCTATCCCCTGGATGAGCCCTAGCCCTGTGTGATCCCCTAGCCCCCGGACAGGCCCGCGTGATCCCCTAGCCCCCGGACAGGCCCGCGTGATCCCCTAGCCCCCGGACAGGCCTGCGTGATCCCCTAGCCCCCGGACAGGCCTGCGTGATCCCCCAGCCCCCGGACAGGCCTGTCTGCAGGTGTGGGAATAGCAGGGCTTTGAGAACGCAGGGCGTGTAAACAGGTGCTGGCTGTGACACAGCTTGGATGTTTACTTCCTTCCCGGCGGGGCCTGCTCCTGAGCCTAGGCCACTCCCATGGTATCTGTGCTCCCGCAGGGATTAACAGGGAAGCTGTGGGGTTCTGCAGGGCCAGGTGCCCACAGTGGACTCTGGTGTTGCGGCCCTGACTTGCTAGAGAGTTGCTGGGCCTCCAGATCACTGTGTCCCACAGGGCTCAGGGAGGGCAGACCATGGCCCAGAGCAGGAAGGCACGCACAGATGCAGGTGCTGTCTGTGCACAGGATTCATGACATCTCCCTCCAGGAGGCAGATCACCGCCCCCATGTAACAGATACCAGTGGAGACTCAGCGAGGAGAAGTGACATGTTCAAGCTGGTCTGGCTGGCTCAGCTGACCCAGAGCCACACCCTGTGTCCCAAAGAAGAGTTAACTTGGCATTGACTGTAGTCCTTGCCCCTGGCTGGGGCTCTGCTAACAGGTCGTTCTTCCAGACACGGCTTCCCCACTGTTTGTTAGGCCCAGATATGGGCATATCCAGGGCCTCTGCCACCTAGGCCTGGGGATAACCAAAGCCCCACTGGGAAGCAGACTCCCCCCTCCCCTGCCTCCACCCACAACCAGCACTGTGCCGCACAGGCTGCCAGACTTAGTGAACAGTCACCCGCTCCACCCACTTACAAGCCCTCACCAGGCAGAATTGGAGATACTGGATCAGCCAGAGAAAGAGAGAGAGAGCGCTCTCCCCATGCCTGTCAACACCAAATTCCTGTCACCCCAGCCTCCGGATGTGACAGTCCACATCTGGCTTCCTAGGAGGCCAGAGAGAAAGGGCATCACAGCCCACCGCAGAGGCCACAGGGCATTGCTGACTTCCTCTATCCCCTGCGCGTGTGTCTTTGTCACCTCCCTGACAGTACCCTGGGAAAGCTTGAGCCCGTCCGCTTGGCAGAGCCCCAGGCTGGGCACAGGCAGATGCTTGGGAATCAGACTCGTCCGGATGGGAAGAGGCAGGAAACAACGAAGCAGGCAGATGGCCATCCTGGTTGTCCAAATGGCTTGGGGCCTCCACAGAGGGCCCTGGCAGGCTGCAGAGGGCCGGGCTAGGATGTGGGCCCCAGGCCAGTCCCCTGAACCAACTCACCCTCCTCAGCCATGTCCTTGTCCAGCACCAGCTTGCCATGCCGGAGGAAGTTCAGGATGGGCCCGAAGTAGGTGGGGTCACGGTCAATGAGGTAGGCCCCGGTCTCATCCTATGGAGGTGAGGGATGCTCCGTGAGCGAAGAGTGAGGCCTCTCCCAGGCCAACCCCACACATGCACAGGGAGGGAAGGCGAGTCCAGGGAGAGCTCTTCCCTGGATGGAGCAGGCACAAAGGAGCAAAAAGGCACTGGGGTCAGGTGGACCTGAGTTCAAACCCTGCGTCTGACTTTTCCTGAATGTGTGACCTTAGGCTAATGATCTGGCCTCTTTGAGCCTCACTCCTCTCCCCATCATCAGGGGTCGCTGTGAGCATCTGGTGACAGGAGGTCTGAGTGGCAACTGGGCCAGCACAGGGCTCGGCGAATGTCCCTCTTAGAAGCTGTCCCCTGATGCCAGCCCCACTGTCGCCCCCAGGTCCCCAGGCTTTCAGGGGATGTTTACAAGTTTCCAAAGAAGCCACTATCTCACTGGACACTCAGGCGGGCAGGGAGGCAGAGTGGGCTTCCATGCGACTCTACAGAGAGATGGGAGACATTGAGAGGCGAGGCGACTTGCCAAAGGCCACAGCATCGGAAGGTCACGGATGGGGGACAGGAGAACTTAGAGGTCATCTTCAGACCAGCCCTTCGTGTTACAGATGAGGAAGGAGGCTGAGCGCAGTGCAGGGAAGGGTCCGACCCAAGGTCGCAGCAGGCAGCGTGCAGCAGAGTCAGGGTGGGTGCTCAGAAACAGTGCCCGCTGGGCCAGCGCTCCTTCTAGATTCAGCCCGCTCACAAGGCGCCCCAGGGCTCCTCCATCCAGCTAGCTCCCTGCACCCCTCCGCCACCCACATCCCAAAGGGCAGGAGGAGTAGCCTCGTCGACTCCTTCCCCAGAGCAGGAGTCCCCTTTGGGAGGGAGGAAAGGCCCCAGGTCTCTCCCTGTCCACTGCCCCAAAGGAGAAGGTGAGACCCCGATCCAGGGCGGCTGGAGAGCTTCTAATGGCCGCGACCTGCGTTGTCCCGTTGCCACGGCAATGGGCACATCCCTCACTACCAGACCCACCTCCCCCTTCCCTCCTCCTGCCGCTTCTTCCCGCCTCCAGTTCCTCGGAAATGAACGCAGCCGGGTCCCCAGCCTGGCGGGCGAGCCAGGCCCGACAGCCCTGCGTCGGGCCAGCAGAGGACCCACCGCCCGCTCGCCGCCCACCCCGGGGGCCTCACCCGGTCCGACTGCAGCTCTTCCCCCTGGCACAGGCGGCTGAGGAAGGACTTCTGCTCGCGGCACAACGTCTGCCGGGTGGTCAGGAACACCGTGCCCCCGACGTTGAGCCGCACCCACTTGCCCCAGCCGCCTGCGGCGCGGCCGCCCGCCCCCGCCGGCGGCGCTGCCTCCCCGGCCTCCATCCTCATCGCCGGCCGCGGCGTCTGCATCCTCCTCCCGGGCGCGGGGGGCGGGAGGGAATCACGCGCGGGGCAGGCCGGGAGCTGTAGTCCGCGCCTCCTGGCTCCGCGTGGGCCGCGAGGAGGGTCCCGCCCCGCGCTGCTCCCGCCCCGCGCTGCTCCCGCCCCGCGCTGCTCCCGCCTCGCGCTGCTCCCGCCCCCGGTCCCGCCCCGCTTCGCCCTTCCCTGCAGGCCCGCAGTCTGGGCTAGTGAAGCCAAATCACTGTGTATGGGGAAGGTCGAACTCCCGATCTCTGGGAAAAGAATGAGTGCTTCCCCAAATCGCAGTCCTCCCATTG